TCTCTTTCATCTCTCTTTCATCCCTCATTCATCTCTCATTCATCTCTCATTCATCCCTCATTCATTCCTCATTCATCTCTCATTCATCCTTCATTCATCCCTCATTCATCTCTCATTCATCCCTCATTCATTCCTCATTCATCTCTCATTCATCCCTCATTCATCCCTCATTCATCTCTCATTCATCTCTCATTCATCTCTCATTCATCCCTCATTCATCTCTCATTTATCCCTCATTCATCCTTCATTCATTCCTCATTCATCTCTCATTCATCCCTCATTCATCCCTCATTCATCCCTCATTCATCTCTCTTTCATCCCTCATTCATCTCTCATTCATCTCTCATTCATCCCTCATTCATTCCTCATTCATCTCTCATTCATCCCTCATTCATCCCTCATTCATCTCTCATTCATCCCTCATTCATCTCTCTTTCATCTCTCATTCATCTCTCATTCATCCCTCATTCATCTCTCATTCATCTCTCTTTCATCTCTCATTCATCCCTCATTCATCTCTCATTCATCCCTCATTCATCTCTCATTCATCCCTCATTCATCTCTCTTTCTTCTCTCATTCATCTCTCTTTCATCTCTCATTCGTCTCTCATTCATCCCTCATTCATCCCTCATTCATCTCTCATTCATCCCTCATTCATCTCTCATTCATCCCTCATTCATTCCTCATTCATCCCTCATTCATCCCTCATTCATCCCTCATTCATCCCTCATTCATCTCTCATTCATCTCTCTTTCATCTCTCATTCATCTCTCTTTCATCTCTCATTCATCTCTCTTTCATCTCTCATTCGTCTCTCATTCATCCCTCATTCATCCCTCATTCACTCAAAAAAATGATATGTTGGCTTTACTTAACTTTTTTTTGTAAACAGGTTCCACCGGTTCCACATAACTATGTTTCGTTAAACAAACATAATATGTTCATGTAACTTCAACATCATGGAATTTGGTCATTTTAAGCGACCCAATTAAACTCTGAGCTAATGAGTTAATTAAGTGAATAACTGAGTGATGATTGAGCATTATTGAAGACACCTGATGTTAACAAGCAGAATCTCTGAAGGAGAAAACCGGAATGTTTAAGTCACCATTATGGAGATAAGTATTCGTTTTAGTTGTGCTCTTGACCATTAACTTATTAACTTTAGATTTTGTTTGGTTGCTGTACATGAATTATAACAGCCGGATGAACAACAAACAAAGGTGATCTGATGGTATTGGTTGTGTTTTAACATAATAATTATTTCACAATCATTTGACCTGAGTCACTGAACTTATATTAAACCGAATTTCTGAGTTAAGTTTACCTTATGGATAATAACAGCACTGTCATTGTAGAGCATACTATTTTTAGATTTTTCAATGAAATTCAAATGACCAAATCAAGAAATAAAAAAGAAACTTCCTAAAAAAAATATTTAGAATAGGCACACACAGACATCAAGAATCAGCATATGAATCTCAGCAATGGTGACAAACAGATCATAAGCTCATTATTTATTAATGCAGCAATGCATGATGGGAGCCATGAATGAGTTTTGATTGGTGGCACCCAGAATGCACTGCAACATGCTTTATAATTGTCACCATTGGTGAGATTTACAGGCTGATTCTTGATGTCTGTGTGTCTACTGAAAATATTTTTTAGGAAGTTTATTTTTTATTTATTGATTTGATCATTTGAATTTCATTGAAAAGTCAAAAAAATAGTATGCTCTACAATGACAGTGCTGTTATTATCCATAAGGTAAACTTAACTCAGAAATTCGGTTTAATATAAGTTCAGTGACTCAGGTCAAATGATTATGAAATAATGATTATGTTAAAACACAACCAATACCATCAGATGACCTTTGTTTATTGTTCATCCGGCTGTTATAATTCATGTACAGCAACCAAACAAAATCTAAAGTTAATAAGTTAATGGTCAAGAGCCCAACTAAAACACACACTTATCTCCATAATGGTGACTTAAACATTCCGGTTTTCTCCTTCAGAGATTCTGCTTGTTAACATCAGGTGTCTTCAATAATGCTCAATCATCACTCAGTTATTCACTTAATTAACTCATTAGCTCAGAGTTTAATTGGGTCGCTTAAAATGACCAAATTCCATTATGTTGAAGTTACATGAACATATTATGTTTGTTTAACGAAACATAGTTATGTGGAACCGGTGGAACCTGTTTACAAAAAAAAGTTAAGTAAAGCCAACATATCATTTTTTTGAGTGTTCATCTCTCATTCATCTCTCATTCATCCCTCATTCATCCCTCATTCATCTCTCATTCATCCCTCATTCATTCCTCATTCATCCCTCATTCATCCCTCATTCATCCCTCATTCATCTCTCATTCATCCCTCATTCATCTCTCTTTCATCTCTCATTCATCTCTCATTCATCCCTCATTCATCCCTCATTCATCTCTCATTCATCTCTCATTCATCTCTCTTTCATCTCTCATTCATCTCTCTTTCATCTCTCATTCGTCTCTCATTCATCCCTCATTCATCCCTCATTCATCCCTCATTCATTCCTCATTCATCTCTCTTTCATCTCTCATTCATCCCTCATTCATCTCTCATTCATCCCTCATTCATCTCTCATTCATCCCTCATTCATCCCTCATTCATCCCTCATTCATCTCTCATTCATCTCTCATTCATCTCTCTTTCATCTCTCATTCATCTCTCTTTCATCTCTCATTCATCTCTCATTCATCCCTCATTCATTCCTCATTCATCCCTCATTCATCTCTCATTCATCTCTCATTCATCTCTCTTTCATCTCTCATTCATCTCTCTTTCATCTCTCATTCATCTCTCATTCATCCCTCATTCATCCCTCATTCATCTCTCATTCATCCCTCATTCATCTCTCATTCATCCCTCATTCATTCCTCATTCATCTCTCATTCATCTCTCATTCATCTCTCTTTCATCCCTCATTCATCCCTCATTCATCTCTCATTCATCTCTCATTCATCCATCATTCATCTCTCATTCATCTCTCATTCATCTCTCATTCATCCATCATTCATCTCTCATTCATCCCTCATTCATCCCTCATTCATCCCTCATTCATCCCTCATTCATCTCTCTTTCATCTCTCATTCATCCATCATTCATCTCTCATTCGTCTCTCATTCATCCCTCATTCATCTCTCATTTATCCATCATTCATCTCTCATTCGTCTCTCATTCATCCCTCTTTCATCTCTCATTCATCCCTCATTCATGATGAATGAGGGATGAATGAGAGATGAATGAGGGATGAATGAGGGATGAATGAGGGATGAATGAGAGATGAAAGAGAGATGAATGAGGGATGAATGAGGGATGAATGAGGGATGAATGAGAGATGAAAGAGGGATGAATGAGGGATGAATGAGAGATGAAAGAGGGATGAATGAGGCATGAATGAGGGATGAATGAGGGATGAATGAGGGATGAATGAGAGATGAATGAGGGATGAATGAGAGATGAAAGAGAGATGAATGAGGAATGAATGAGGGATGAATGAGGGATGAATGAGGAATGAATGAGGGATGAATGAGAGATGAATGAGGGATGAATGAGGGATGAATGAGAGATGAATGAGGGATGAATGAGAGATGAATGAGGGATGAATGAGAGATGAATGAGGAATGAATGAGAGATGAATGAGGGATGAATGAGGGATGAATGAGGGATGAATGAGGGATGAATGAGAGATGAATGAGGGATGAATGAGGGATGAATGAGAGATGAATGAGGGATGAATGAGAGATGAAAGAGAGATGAATGAGGAATGAATGAGGGATGAATGAGGGATGAATGAGGAATGAATGAGGGATGAATGAGAGATGAATGAGGGATGAATGAGGGATGAATGAGAGATGAATGAGGGATGAATGAGAGATGAATGAGGGATGAATGAGAGATGAATGAGGAATGAATGAGAGATGAATGAGAGATGAATGAGGGATGAATGAGGGATGAATGAGGGATGAATGAGGGATGAATGAGGGATGAATGAGAGATGAATGAGGGATGAATGAGGGATGAATGAGAGATGAAAGAGGGGAGAATGAGGGATGAATGAGGGATGAATGAGGGATGAATGAGAGATGAATGAGGGATGAATGAGAGATGAAAGAGGGATGAATGAGGGATGAATGAGAGATGAATGAGGGATGAATGAGAGATGAAAGAGGGATGAATGAGGGATGAATGAGAGATGAATGAGGGATGAATGAGAGATGAATGAGGGATGAATGAGAGATGAATGAGGGATGAATGAGAGATGAATGAGGGATGAATGAGTGATGAATGAGGGATGAATGAGAGATGAAAGAGGGATGAATGAGGGATGAATGAGGGATGAATGAGGGATGAATGAGAGATGAAAGAGGGATGAATGAGGGATGAATGAGAGATGAATGAGGGATGAATGAGGGATGAATGAGGGATGAATGAGAGATGAATGAGGGATGAATGAGGGATGAATGAGGGATGAAAGAGAGATGAATGAGGGATGAATGAGGGATGAATGAGGGATGAATGAGAGATGAATGAGGGACGAATGAGGGATGAATGAGAGATGAGGGATGAATGAGGAATGAATGAGAGATGAATGAGAGATGAATGAGGGATGAATGAGGGATGAATGAGAGATGAATGAGGGACGAATGAGGGATTAATGAGGGATGAATGAGGGATGAATGAGAGATGAAAGAGGGATGAATGAGGGATGAATGAGGGATGAATGAGGGATGAATGAGGGAATTTGGAAATAAAATTTTGTGAATATCAATTTGGTTATTGGCATTTGGGAATTGGATTTTTTATTTATATTGAGAGACTATAACTTTGTACTGGTGTTTTCATAATGTAGAATTTATTAATTATAAATTAAAGATATTATAAATATATTATAATACAGTATAATGTGTTAGACTGTGACTCTATGAAACTTTTCATAAGTTTATCTCTCTACAGACCCCTGCTACAACTACACTGTGCTGGACGATTCATGGAGATCCATCAGTAATACAGATTACTCCAACTGTGACCAGTCTGTCTCCTGGAGCGGCTGGTATCGTCTCTTCATTAACAACATTAGCGCTCATATCCCAGACACGTGTGTTGCATGGGGAAGATGTGGCGCTTATAACCCACTGTGGATCCGTGGTGGACACCCAACAGTAACAGATGGAGTCGTCACTCGAGATGTCTGTGGTCACTATAACAGTTACTGCTGCTATTACGGGTCTTATCCCATTAAAGTCAAAGCCTGTCCAGGAGATTATTATGTCTATGAGCTGGTCAGTCCAACTGTGTACTATTCAGCATACTGTGCAGGTAATTATATTCACATGAGCTCTTTCTACACATTCATGATATTTGTGTCTCCGTGTCTATCTATAAAGATGAAGAATGTGTCTGTGTTCTGATTGTTTTGGGAATATCTGCATTGTTTTCTATGGCAATAACGTTGCGTTGATAGGTATACGCCAAATAGCCACTGTCACTTTCTGATCGTCCGGTGGTAACAACACATTGTTTGGGCAGTGACTCTCAGCATGTTTCCTATAACAATGTCTGACATTTACATTTTACGTGGCGTGAGAGTCACATAAACCACGCGAAATCTGATCACAGCAGTCAGACTGAAACGGATTTCCAGAAATGTGATTTGAACACATTAGTGTTTGAACACATTAGAATTTTTTGCTGTTCACATTAGCTAATTCTGATCGAATTTCAATCGGATATGCACACAAATCGGATTTGGACTGACAGTCTGAACGTAGCCTTGCCAGAGAGCAATAGATGTTGAAAAGACATGAAAGGGGTCATGACATGGTTTTTTGTTTTGTTTTATTATGTTCCCTTAGGTGCAATTATAGTATTAATATAGTTTTTTGTACAAAAAACTTTAAATATGTAGTGATTTATGACCTTTTCCCACCCTGTTTCTCCCCCTCTGATTCAAACAGTCTGTTTTGGAGGTGTTCCCCTTTAAGAGTTCAGTGTTAACGCCCATTGTTATGATTGGCTAACGTCAGTGATGCTTATGCATAAATTATTAACGTTAATCATTTTGTATCACATAGCTTTTAGAAACATGTCTCAGAAAAAATAAAACATTACTGGTGTGCATTTTAAAAGACAAAACAATGGCACTGACATATTTTAAAATATACCTGAAGCATTGGTGCCGGTGCATATGTGGGTGTTTTTTTCCCATTGTCTTTTCCTTTAGTTCTCTCTCCTGTCCTGTTTCCCACAGGTCTCCTGCCCTAATTGGAGGTGTCACCATCGCTCGGTAGTTGCGGATGGGAGGAACGGAAAAGCGACATCCTCTGAATCATAAAGGGCATTTATTTTTTTACCTGTTTTTCTCCTGCTTATGTTTAGTTAAGGAGTTAGGGAAGTCTTTGTATTTTCTTTTATCTTCAGTTCCTGATAGGATATTTTGTGTGCTGGGTAGTTCACTTTTTGCTTATTATTTTGGCTTGGTCTAGCCCTGAAGTGCTTTTGTGTTTTTGTTCATTGTTTGAACTGAATACAGTACACCCAGCTAACTTGTCCTGATTTACCCTGTTATTCTGATATTGAGTGTCTGTGAAACTGCCTTTGAGTAGAATAAAATGGTCAATTGAATAAATGGTTAATTGGCATTATTACCATAGTAAACTTACAGCCTTTTTGTCTTAAGCAGTACATTTAACACTAGTGAAATTGCATAAATTTAGCATTTCATAATCCAGCTATTCATATTCCAGTTATTTTGGCTCAAACTAAAAATCAAGTAAAAAAAAAAAAAAGACTTAATTCTTCCATTTTTTTTTTTCTTTCTTTGTGGGTATTTACATTGAAGGTCTGTTACATTATTTAATATGTGGAATTATTTGAATATAAATGTGCCGTGGTGATTAAAGCTGCACTGCCGCCTTTCGCCTGGTTATTATTTATTTACTCACCTCATGGGTCAAAATGTGACAAGACTTAAAGAAAGTTTTGAATTGTAAGACTAGTTTTGTGAGGTCAGTGGAATGGATCTCCCACTAAACAAAAAGTGTATCAACCGGCATTTTAGTTCACTTATTTCCAGGTTTTTAATGGCTGTTGTAAAATCCACGAGCCGATGTCGATCTGCTGTCGATACTCGAAAGCTTTGAATCTTTTCCTAGTAAAAGTCTCAAAAGTCACGGCGTCATTTCCCTCATGCTTAGGAGCTGTGAGGAAAGGAAGAAAAACAATGGGAGAGAGCACAATGTAAGAAATGAGAAGCAGCTCATGTGTGTGTGTGAAATGAGAAAAACGCCTTTCAGCTCAAGCCAGAAAGGTTAGCACACTAGAGGGAGCTAAAGATCATTATAGGTACCATACACGTGCCCTGGATGTGCATCCCACAAATCTCCATCAACTGCAAGATGCTATCCTATCCTATCAATATGGGCCAACATTGTGGAAGGCATCTGGATGTTTGTTAACAGTACATCACTGCAAAGGTATTTCCAACTTTGTACTTCTAAACAAAGAATGAAAAATAACTTTGTTGTGAGTATTTCGAGACATTGAATCACGTTCAGTCTCTAGTGCGTTCAATAAGCTGCTGGCTGCAGTTCACTTAATGGCCACTGGGGTCGATAATAACAAGGGATTCTGAATTGCCCCTTTAAACATTTTGTGAAGAGAGGCTTATAAAATGTTTTATCAAAATGTTTCTCCAATCCTTCATAACGTTTTCCACATCCCTGGTTTTACCTGATCCTTTGTGTGCTTATATTTATATATCCTAAATGTAAGAGAATATCAAAAAACTGATTGCCTATTGCATTTATTTCTCATATATGGAATATTGTTGAAATGCAAATATAATATGTTTAACAAGATGTTATTGTGACTCCATGGTGTTTAGTTTTATTTAATAAAATATTTTAAAAATCCTCAGCTTTTGTTCTGAGTGTAAAGTGGGCATCATATCCTTTGAAGGTGTGAGAGAGGTTGTCTATGAATTTCATGAATATATGCATGCTTAAGAGCAAAAAAAATAAAAATATATATAGGGCTGTCAAACGATGAATCACGATTAATCGCATCCAAAATAAAAGTTTGTGTTTACATAATATATGTGTGTGTACTGTGTATAATTATTTTATATATAAATGCACACATGTATATATTTAAGAAAAATGTGTTATTTATATATAAAATGTTTATATTTATATAAAATATACATTATATATAGGCTACATTCAGTCTATATACAGTACATGCAAATATTTCTTAAATACGCGCATGCATGTGTGGGTATTTATGTATTAAAAATAATTATACACAGTACACACACATATATTATGTAAACACAAACTTTTATTTTGGATGCGATTAATCGTTTGACAGCCCTAATATATATATATATATATATATATATATATAGACTAGACTTTGAGAAGATGTATTCTTCTGTTTATTGGCCCACACAACATTAACAATGCCCTGCTTTCACATATAACTGGTGACCATTAAAATTTAACAACATACAAATTTCCTTAAATTACGCTATTGTATTAGTTGATGGCTTTTGTGTTAGACAACATGTGATTGAATGTACAGTACACAAACTTATTGGTCTGCAGAGTTTTTTAAGTTGGACTGAAATTCTTATCAATAGCATTAAATCACTTCCTGTTTAGGGTTAGCACTATTATAGCACTACATTTCCTATGAATATGTCAGTTTCTGCTTTTAAATGAAGTTACATATAATTATTTTTATATTTGCTGTACTCAACATGTTCAACATGATTTTCTTTGCGGTAAGCAGAAAATTACTTTAAAGCAGAAATGGTGTAGCAGATGTGTCGCTAATGTTGGAGGAAATGAGAACTGTTGCATACAATTTCTAATGTTGTTTTCTAGGAACAATATTTCAGAGTTTCTGCTTTTATATGATGTGTATTGGCATGGAATTATTTTCCATGGAATTTACTTTTTCATATGCTAAAGTAAAACAGTTACAGATGTTTGTCATTATAAAACAACATACTCTTTAAAAAGGCCTGTCTGTTAAAGACAACATTGGATTATTTACAAAGGTTGCTTAATTATTATTTCTAATAATATGGTGTGAATTGTTATCATTTTAATATCTATGTGTTGTGTCTCTGTTTGTCAGGAGGAAGCAGGTGTTTGGTGTGGATGACAGTGTGTCTCGGGCTCATTTGTGTTCTTCTGCTGGTCTTCATCACACTGTACATCACCATCACAGCAGAGAGAGACCTGTTAAAGAGTTACAAGAACACAGTTGAAGAGTTCAATCACACTATCAACAGCTTACAGGACAATTACACTGATCTAATGACTGAAAAAGACCAACTGAAGAACAACTTCAGCTCTTTGAGTCAGAAGAAACTGGAGAAATACAGTCACGTTGTTTGATGAACTAACGAAAGAAGTATCTAAACAAAGTCAGTACTGTTTGGAAGCAGTTTCTTTTTAAAGAACTTAATAATCTAATTAATTCTAAGACTGCTTCAGTGTTACTTTTAAAGTCCCCATGAATTCAAAATTGACCATACTTACTTTGTTTGCCTAAATTGACCGTTTTGTGGTGAACAATTCATCCATGTAAGTCAATCCACACAAAAAAAATGTTTGGCTTCGTAATCTTTAATCAAAATCTGAAATTTCCCCTCCCCTCTGCGTTGGAGGACCTTGCCTGATGACGTAGGTTTGACGGTTTGGGCGTCTTCTTAACATCCGTAATCACGCCCCTCCAACTGACAGTAGACAGGCTGAATGAAAACACCTACTTTTCTAGATCCAATCAGGTGCTAGTTGGGAAAAAAGCCACGCCCACCATTTTGCCTCATTTAGTATTCCGTTTCTCTCGGAAATACGTCACAACACTGGAGAAAAGTCGTTTGCAACTTCCGGTTCACGGGGACTTTAACACACTGCTGGTGGTTCCCATAGAAACACAGAACAGTGTTAATTTAACAACATGGATTTTATATTTCTGCACTTTCACTTCTGCTTCTCTTTATCTTGTCTTTGGGTTTTCCCTTTGAGGAGGCAAAGGAAGCAGTGCTTCCACAAAAAACTGAAATAGAAATGAATCCACAGTACAAAAATAAAACAACGCTGCTCACACAATAAAATCCTGCATCTCATTTTCCTGCGCATTCGGTCTGAATTAATAGGCCTAAATAATGGTGTTAATGAGAAGACTAAATAGAAAGTAAACAACTCACCCACTTAGATATCACCGCTTTATTCACATCACATTCACTTGAAGACTTGAAAACACAACCTGTAAGTGTGTATGGGCTTTTAAATGTGCAGTCAGCTTGGTGAAATTAAAGGCACATCTCAGTGTCTGTGACTAGGGACATCGCTGGGCTATTTTAGGGAGGACTGTCACTGAAGTGATAAGGAAGAAAAACATCTGGGACCGTACACTGTAAAAAAAAAAAAAAAAGCCTCTCCAACATAAACATTTCTAGTGACCCGTTGCACCTAAAATTTTTAGTTGGCCCAATTTAAGTATGCGGAAAGAGCAAAATCCCCAGTGTTAAATTAACACTCTGAGTGTGGGCTCATAAACACTGAAGCAGTGTTAAAGCTAATGAGATAATTAAGTGATTAATTGAGTGATGATTGAGCATTATTGAAGACACCTGATGTTAACAAGCAGAATCACTGAAGGAGAAAAACTTAATTTTAAGTCACCATTATGGAGATCAGTGTTTGCTTTAGTTGAGCTCTTGACCATTAAATGTTTAACTTTACTTTTTTTTTTTGGCTGCTGTACATGAGCTATAACAGCTGGATGAACAAATAGAGAAGGACATCCGATAGTGTTGGTTGTGTTTTAACATAATCATTATTTCACAATCATTTGACCTGAATCACTGAACTCACATAGAGCCCAATTTCTGAGTTAGGTTTACTTTATTAATAATAGCAGCACTGTCCTTGTACTGTATCATTTTTTTAGCCTTTTCAATGAAACCAAATGATCAAGAAAATAAAAATAAAACTTAAAAAATTATTTATGTTGGCACACACAGACATCAAGAATTAGCGTATGAATCTCAGCAATGGTGACAAACCGATCACCTCTGAACACCAGCTCACTATTTATTCGTGCAGCAATGCATGATGGGAGCCATGAATGAGTTTTGATTGATGGCACCCAGAATGCACTGCAACATGCTTTATAATTGTCACCATTGTTGAGATTAGCAGGCTGATTATTGATGTTTGTGTATAAAAATTTCTTTGGATATATTTGTTAAAGTTAAAAACACTATGGTGTACCAGAAAAGAGCTGCTATAATTATTAATAAAGTAAACCTAAATTGGGCTTTATACCATCAGATGACCACCAATACCATCAGATGTCCTTTTCTATTTGTTCATCCGGCCGTTATAACTCACGTACAGCAGCCAAAAAAAATGTAAAGTTAAACATTTAAGGGTCAAGAGTCCAACTAAAGCAAACACTGATATTCATAATGGTGACTTAAAATTAAGTTTTTCTCCTTCAGTGATTCTGCTTGTTATTATCAGGTGTCTTCAATAATGCTCAATCATCACTCAATTAATCACTTAATTATCTCATTAACTTTAACACTGCTTCAGTGTTTATGAGTCCACACTCAGAGTGTTAATTTAACACTGGGGATTTTGCTCTTTCCGCATACTTAAATTGGGCCAACTAAAAATTTTAAGTGCAAAGGGTCATTAGAAATGTTTATGTTGGAGAGGCATTTTTTTTTTTTACAGTGTATGTAAAATTTTAGTCTTAAAGTTTTGACTAAAGAGTGACTTTTTCTGATCTGGAAAGAATGCATTTTGTACCAGCCAAAATGGGGATTTTGCTCACTGGTTGGATGTACAAGATGATACAGTAAATAGAGGTAAATGGGTCTGAGGAGAGTTTCAAGAAGTCTATATTTACATTAAAGACCAATGTCAAATAAAATCACTTCCTGTGTAAATGTAGCACTATATAAGGTGGACTATTAAATGTAGTCATCATTCTGAGAACCACAGCTCATCTGTCAAGACGTATTGCAAGACATAAGAACAAATAATGGAATTTCAGGACTACTATGAAAATTCTAATCACATAAATATTATGAACACAACTGGACCTCATAGACACTGTCAGGATGAAGGAAAAGCCCGAAATCACAGTAAGCAGAGCATTTAATTTGGGTTCATGAAATGAGAACTGCTAGATTTCAATCATTGATTTCCAAGACCAATAGGAACAAAAAAATATTTTGTATTCTTATTTTTTCAGCATAATGTACTTTTACAGTAGTTTACTTACAAAGGTTAATTTGAAAACTTACATAGAAAGTTCTGTGATGAAACTCTATGGTCCATAAGTCTGCATCTTCTCTAGGGCACAGCTGATTGGTTTATTGGTTATCAGTAGCCAACGAGCTCACTGCTCAACAATCAAATAGTTGACTATATCATTTGCTGCAGTCTGTCATGACAGAACTGTCAAGAGTGTATTCAGTGATATTTGTGTTTTATCAGGAGGAAGTCGATGTTTGGTGTTGATCACAGTGTGTCTCGGGATCCTTTGTCTTCTTCTGATTGCAGCCGTCATTCTTCAGCACTTTCAGTGCACTTCTAAACGAGGTTGGTTATATGTACATTTCTCTTTCTTAGTTTTTTTCTGTTTTTATGTAAACTGTTTGAACAAGTTGTGTTTCTTTTAGGATTTCTGTGGGGTCCAGATGGCTTGTTTATGTCCAGTGTGCCGATGAGCTGGACTGAGAGCAGGCATTACTGCAGAGATCGAGGAGGTGATCTGGTCATTATCAACACTGAAGAGAAGCAGGTGAGTTTGTGTGAGTGACTGTTAGTTAATGAGAGGAATCACACTTATTCCTGATTTTATTCACGCACAGATACACATATCTTCATTAATCAAGGAGAGTGTATGGATTGGTTTGTCTGACAGTGAGACTGAGGGGATTTTGAAATGGGTGGATGATTCACCACTCAAACAAGGGTAAGTGCAAATATACTCTCAGAAATTCATGTGTATTTATTTATTTTAGTCTTTTTAATTCCCATTTTAAAAATAAGAACATCAACACCTCAGCTTTTCCACAAACACAAGCCACAAAACCATAAAAGGCACTCCCTATAAATAAATTATATTTAAAAAAAACTTCTCTCTTTTACTTTTCACTTCTGCTTTATGTTTACTCTTGAAATGCAATACTGAGATTACTGTTAATTTATGAATTATGTATTTGTTGCGTTACATTCCTAACTTGTTTGTTGTTTAGTTGACATTATGAATAATAAAAAAAAAAAAAATAAAAAAAAAAAAAACGCATTTTATTCAGGTTTTGGGCTAAAGGTGAGCCGAATAACTATCATGGTAAAGATGAGGACTGCATTGAACTGAATCCTGGAAAACACACCCTCAACAACTGGAATGATCTCAAATGCTCTGAGAAGAGAAAAGGGATATGTGAGAAATAATCCTGTTTTTAACCTTAAACTTTTCATTCATCTTCATAAACTTAACATTTATATGATGGAGTCAATCAATAGTGATCACATAATTCATTATTAAGAGTCCTGTGTTTTTAAAACAGTGCAAGTTGAATACATCAAGCATGAACTGCTTTCATGTGAAATGTAATGCTGCACACTTTACATCTGAAGTGTTCATGTCTTGCTCCATTATTAGCAGCTGTTAACGAGAACTTCTTCTGTTATCATGCGTCATAAGTTAGTCTGAAGTGTTGAGCTGACAATCACAGTAAAATGTAGAAGTCTAAAGTGTCCCAGATTGCTCTGATTTACCCTATTATTCTGATATTGAGTGTCTGTGAAACTGCTTTTATGTTGTATTGCTTTCATTTTCAATAAAAAATTTAAATTATAACCATTATTACCATAGTAAACTTAAAGGTGCTCTAAGCGATGTCACACGTTTTTTAGGCCAAAACTTTTTTGTCACATACAGCAAACATCTCCTCACTATCCGCTAGCTGCCTGTCCCCTGAACACACTGTAAAAAGACACGGTCTCTGCAGACACCCCAGCCTCCACAAACAGCAACAAAAACACACTGGGCTAACCCGCACCACGAAACATAACAAACTGTTCCAGCAAATAACCGACCAGAACGATTTGGGGGTGGGGTTTGGGTGGTTAGTGCCCGGATGAGGAGGAGGGAGGGTCTAGCTAGCCTCCATTTTGTTTGACAATACTTTGAACGTCAACAAGAAGTGAGGTCACCCGACATCGCTTAAAGCACCTTAACCCACATAGCAACATTGTTTCGGCCCAAATCCGGCCCACATCTGGCACTTGTGGGATGCGGATCTGGCCCACATGCAGCGGTGAATGACGGCCCTTGGGTGGCCCACTCCTGTTTGCCAGATCTGGGCCACAAGCAGGCCATAGCAATGCCACATGTCAGCCAAGAGCAAATAAATAAACCAGAACTGGATTTTATCTGAGCCACAAAATCTGTGTATATTAAATATGGAGTCATCTCAGCCTTAAGAAGCCTGTTAACAAGCAGAATCACTGAAGGAAAGAAGAGAATAGAAAAAGAGACGAGCAGAACAAGAACTACAACTGACTTTAGACACAATCTTAGATGAAATCACCTGAAGAGAAAAGAAGACATTAAATCTGTGAAGATCTCAGCAGAGGAGGATTAAACAACTCCACAAACAGCATTACCAGCTTCACTTATTACTAACCAGACTGACTTTATTTCTGTCAGACTTCTACAGAAGTTTTTATTGAGAATTAACAGAGGTTTAACTCTGTGTTTCATTTGAAGTCACCATAACATCAAAATCACTGAAGGAGAAAATCGTAATTGGTATGTTACCATTATGGTGATTAGTGTTTGCTTTAGTTGGGCTCTTGACCCTTGAAGTCATTAACTTTAGATTTTGTTTGGCTGCTGTACTTGAGTTAAGACAGCCAGATGAACAAAGAGAAAAGGTGATATGATAGTGTTAATTGTGTTTAAATATAATCAATAATTGGCCTGAATCCCTGAACTCATGGAGAGCATAATTACAGAGTTAACTTTTGGATCTTATGGATTATAGCAGCACTGTTGTTGTAGAGCAGGGGTTCTCAACTCTGGCCCGCAAGATCCACTTTCCTGCAGAGTTTACCTACAACCCTAATCAAACTCACCTGAACAAGCTAATCAATGTCTTCATGATTACTACACCTTATGCCGAGTTCAGACTGCACGATTTTCAAAATAATCGGGTCACAGTTGTTTTCACACTGCATGACTATCTGGGGTAACATTCAGTTGCTGCTGTGTTCACACTGCACGATGGATCGGCGACAGGAGGTTTCACACTGCATGACTTTTCAAAAGAAAGAATCGCCGACAACTTCTGCCTAGTCCGCAAACTACGTTTCACAACCAAACAAACGCGAGAAGTGATAGGAAATAACGGAAGATCACGCGTGCGTGAGACCGGAGTTCTCCTGCGACACTGAATTTGTTATTAAAAATGATTGCCTACAAATTGTCTGTGCACTGATTTGTAGCGAAAATGAAAAAAAATAATAAACAGTTTATGCAGGAAATGGTTGGGAAGACGAGGGGAGCAAGGACTGTGTTTTGCAAAGAGAGTTGGGGGTAAATAAATAATTTTGCAAATGTCCTGCTGTTGCTGCTGGTCACGCAAATGTTTGTGCTTTGTTTCTGTTTGATATAATTGTAAATATAGGCCTATCTATTAAAATACTGATATTCTGGTCTATAACTCCTCCTCCTCCTCCCTGTATCTTGCTCTCTCATTGGCTGTCGGTCATCGCCGATGTAGTTTTCAGTCAGAACACATTCACACAGCAGGATTGTGAATCGCCGACAGGTCCAGATATTTAGCATGCCAAATATCTCACGGGCGTCGGTGACTCGTCGGCGATTCTCTCAGATCGCGTCTTTGCTCATTCACACTGCATGATTGTCACACGCGTGAACGAGCACCGATTTGCCTGTGATTTCGGGCATTTGTCGGCGATTTCTCAAAACCTGTCGGCGAGCCAAAATCGGGGCTAAAATCGTGCAGTCTGAACTCGGCATCACAGGAACACAGCAAAATCCCTAGTGTTAAATCAACACTGCTCAGAGTACATATTGTCCCAATCTAAAGAGTGTTAAAAGTGGTAAAGTTAATGAGATAATTAACTGAATAATTAATAGATGATTGAGCATTAGTGATGAACACCTGCTGTTAACAAGCAGAATGACTAAAGAAAAGAGAAACCCAACTACAACATGTGGCATTGCTATGGCCTGCTTGTGGCCCAGATCTGGTAAACAGGAGTGGGCCACCCAAGGGCCGTCATTCCACGCTGCATGTGGGCCAGATCCGCATCCCACAAGTGCCAGATGTGGGCCGGATCTGGGCCAAAACAATGTTGCCATCTGGGTAATAGAGAAGTTTTGACTAAAGAGTGACTTTTTCTGATCTGGAAAGAATGCATTTTGTACCAGCCAAAATGGGGATTTTGCTCACTACATGTGGTTGGATGTACAAGATGATACAGTCATAGAGTTTGGGTCTGAGGAGAGTTTCAGGAAGTCTGTATTCACATTAAAGACCAATGTCAAATGAAATCACTTCCTGTGTAAATTTAGCATATACGGTGGACTATTAAATGCAGTCATCATTCTGAGAACCACAGCTCATCTGTCAAGACGTACTGCAAGACACAAGAACAAATAATGGAATTAGAGGACTACTATGAAAATGCTAAACGCAGAAATATTATGGACACAACTGGACCTCAAAGACACAGCCAGGATGAAGGAAAAGCCCGAAATCACAGTAAGCAGAGCATTTAATTTGGGTTCATGAAAAGAGAACTGCTAGATTTCATTCAAAGTTAAAATTAGGCCATGATTTACTCACCCTCAAGCAATCTTAGGTGTATATGACTTTCTTCTTTCGGACGAATACAATCGGAGTCGTATTAAAAAATACCCTGATGCTTCCAAGCTTTATAATGGCAGTGAATTGAACCATCAGTTTGAAGCTCAAAAAAAGTGCGTCTATCCTTGATAAAAGTGCTCCACATAGACATAGACGTCTGACAGAAATAAAGTCAGTCTGGTTAGTAATAAGTGAAGCTGGTAATGCTGTTTGTGGAGTTGTTTAATCCTCCTTGCGTCGTACCTGGCGCTGCATTGTACCGGGTGTATACACAGCAAAATCCCCAGTGTTAAATTAACACTGAAAAGTGTGGATTATATAAACTCTGAGCAGAGTGTTAAATGAATACTGAAGCAGTGTTAAAGTTAATGAGATAATTAAGTGAATAATTGAGTGATGATTGAGCATTATTAAAGACACCTGATGTTAACAAGCAGAATCACTGAAGGAGAAAACCGGAATTTTTAAGTCACCATTATGGCGATTAGTGTTTGCTTTAGTTGGGCTCTTGACCCCCAAATCTTTAACTTTAGATTTTGTTTGGCTGCAGTACGTGAGTTATAACAGCCAGATGAACAAATAGAAAAGGTGATCTGATGGTGATGGATGTGTTTTAACACAATCATTATCACAATCATTAGACCTGAATCACTGAACTCATATAGAGCCTGATTTCTGAGTTAGGTTTACTTTATTAATTATAGCAGCAGTGACCTTGTACAGCATAATATTTTTAACGTTTACAATGTAATCAAAATAATTTTTTTAAAAGTTCCTCTTATACAATTTTTTTCAAGACACACAGACATCAATAATTAGCCTGTGAATCTCAACAATGGTGACAATTATAAAGCATGTGGCAGTGCATTCTGGGTGCCACCAATCAAAACTCATTCATGGCTCCCATCATGCATTGCTGCATGAATAAATAATGAGCTTATGTTCAGAGGTGATCTGTTTGTCACCATTGCTGAGATGTATATGCTAATTCTTGATGTCTGTGTGTGCCTAAATAAAATGTTTTTTGATTTTCTTTTTTTTTGATCGTTTGGATTTCATTGAAAAGTCTAAAAATGGTATGTTCAAAAATGACCGTGCTGCTAAAATCCATAAGGTAAATTTAACTCAGAATTTATGCTCTTGATGAGTTTAGTGATTCAGGTCCATTAATGATTATGTTAAAACACAATACAACACCATCAGATCACCTTTTCTATTTGTTCATCTGGCTGTTATAACTCACATACAGCAGCCAAACAAAATCTAAAGTTAATGATTTAAGGGTCAAGAGTCCAACTAAACCAAGCACTGATCACCATAATGGTGACTTAAAAATTACGGTTTTCTCCTTCAGAGATTCTGCTTGTTTATTATTCTGCTTAGTAATTATTAACTTAATTATCTCATTAACTTTAACACTGTGTTCATTTAACTCTCTGCTCAGAGTTTATATAATCCACACTCTCAGTGTTAATTTAACACTCTCAGTGTTAATTTAACACTGGGGATTTTGCTGTGTAATAGGGTCATCTATGGTCCATAACTCAACATGCTTGCAATCACATCATTCTCTATAGGGCACAGCTGATTGGTTCCTGCTATATCCGTAGCCAATAAGCTTGTTGCTTATCATTCAAATATTTGCCTATATCATTTGCTGTTGTCAGAACTGACAATATGGAGTTTATTAATTAATATTTGTGTTTTGTCAGGAGGAAGTAGGTGTTTGGTGTCGATCACAGTGTGTCTCGGGATCCTTTGTCTTCTTCTGATTGCAGCCGTCATACTGCAGCACTTTCAGTGCACTTCTAAACGAAGTCAGTTGTATGTACATATTTGTCCTAGTTTTTTCTTCTTTTATGTATACTGTTTGAACAAGTTGTGTTACTTTTACGATTTCTGTGGGGTCCAGATGGCTTGTTTATGTCCAGTGAGTTGAAGAGCTGGTCTGAGAGCAGGCAGTACTGCAGAGATCGAGGAGCTGATCTGGTCATTATCAACACTGAAGAGAAGCAGGTGAGATTGTGTGAGTGACTGTTAATGAATGAGAGGAATCACTTATTCTTGTTTTTACACAGAGGCACATAACTTCATTAGTCAATGAGAGAGTTTGGATTGGTTTGACTGAGATTGAGAACGAGGGGATCATAAAATGGGTGGATAATTCACCACTGAAACAAGGGTAAGTGCTAAAACACTCAGAGACAATAATGTATTTATTTTGTTTTAGTCTTTTTAATTCTCATTTTAAAAATAAGAACACCAAAACCTTCAGAGAAATGCTGAAGACAGCTTTTCCACAAACACAAGCCTCAAAATGTATAAATACAATCTATTTAAAAAGATTCTTCTTTTTTACTTTTCTACACTTTCACTTCTGCATTAGCTTTATAGCTTTACTATATGTGTACTGCATGTGATATTCCTAATTTGTTGCTGAATGGATAAAAATTTTGGGTTTGGTCCTGAATGATTAAAAATCTGACACATTTTATTCAGGTTTTGGGCTCAAGGTGAGCCGAATAACTATGGTGGTGCACATGAGAACTGTATTGAAATGAATCCTGGAAAACACACCCTGAACAACTGGAATGATCTCAAATGCTCTGAGAAGAGAAAAGGGATTTGTGAGAAATAGGGATCATCCTGTTTTTTCATGCTTAAACTTGTATTATCTTATGGATTCAATCAATAGTGATCACATAATTCATTATTAAGAGTCCTGTCTTTTAAAACAATGCAAGTTTAATTCATCAAGCGTTAACATTTCATGTGAAATGTAATCCATGTAAAGTGCATGTCTTGCTCCATTATAAGCAGCTGTTAATTAAAACTTCTTCTAGCTGTTATCATGCATCTCATTTGGTAGTCTGAAGTGTTGAACTGACAATCACAGTAAAATGTAGAAGTCTAAAGTGTCCCGGATTGCTCTGATTTACCCTATTATTCTGATATTGAGTGTCTGCGAAACTGCTTTTATGTTGAATTGCTTTCGTCTTCAATAAAATGGTAAAATAATAACCATTATTACCATATTAAACTTTTTATTTCACATTTCATAGGCCTTTTTAGGCCTCATTCATGAAACACAGGCAGAACAATTTTTTGTGTGTAAATCTGTCGTATATTTTCAGATTCATGAAAATGTTCTATTTTTAAAATGTTAGTTGCACTGTTACACAATAGCTTATATGCTCAAAGTATTTTCAAAAATGTTCACATTGCTGTTGGATCTCAAACTGTAGAATCTCAGGGCTACATGTAATGTCATCACATAACATATTGTGAGCAGGTTTTCTCTTGCAGTAACAAATGTGATTTATTAACACAATGTTTGAACAGACAGAGAAAATCTAACAATACAAAAGAAAAGGGTCAAGAGCTCAACTAAAGAACACACTGATCATCATAACGGTGACTTGAAACGGGAAATTCCATTTAACATTTTCGTCTATAAGTGCAATAATGTGTAATGGCTCGAAGTCAGTAGTTCTTGTGTTTCTCTTTTTTTTCTGTTCTTGTTGTTTCTCTTTCCTTCAATGATTCTTCTTATTAACATTAGCTGTCATCACTTCATTAATCCCTTAATTATCTCATTAACTTCAACACTGCTTAGTGTTCATTTTTAACACCCTGTAGTTGGACCTATATGTACACCAGGAGTGTTCATATAACACTGTGGATTTTGCTGTGTACAGTAATAATGTGAGTTAGCCAGTTAGCAGGAGACCTACACAATATAAAACTATAAAATATAAAAAATATAAAATCTTTCGAGAGCAAGAGGTTTATAAATCCTGCATTGAACTCCGAGATTTGAGAAGCAGTCGTCAGTAAAATAAATTGAACACTGCAAAAGTTTAGGATTATACTGCTGTGATATCTGGTAAAGATGAATTTTAACCACTGATTCTTCACATGCTCGTCCTTGGGCAGTGAAAAAAAACTCGGTTTTGAGGGTTTGAGGGTTTCAAGTTTCCCTGGAGTCTGCACGTGCAATACGTGGGCGGGAAATATACTAATGTTTCGTCTTGATGTCACAACGAAACGGCTTATGACTCGTTTGAAAAATGATTAATTTAATTGACTCAGAGTCGACTCTTACTTTTGAAAGACAATAACTTAATATACGGTGCACTTTCAGATTTAAAACTTTGCAGGATGTTTTCATTCACTTAGAGCTATGTTACACACTACATGAAAGGTAATTTTTAAAAATCCATAATAGGGGCCCTTTAAGTCATACTGGTTAATAATAAGTGTAATAATGTGTAATGGCTGGAAGTCAGTTGTAGTTCTTGTATTTCTATATTTTCTGTTTTTGTGTTCATCTTTCCTTCAGTGATTCTGCTTGTGAACAGCAGGTGTTCATCACTAATACTCAACAATCACTGACATAGATTATCTCACTGCAACACTGTCTATGTCACTTTTACTCTTTGTAGTGTGGATTTACCTGTGGGGATGAAAGGGTTAACAGTGTAGATAAAAAGACACACCCACAAAATGTATTTTAACAGCAATAAACTGTATATTATTAAACAGGTATATACTGTTGCCAGTAGTTTACTGTGAAATTAATTTTTTTGGGTCACCGTTGTACTGAAGAGTAGAGCCTGTGCTTCAGTCCAGGAGAAGATCTACAAACATTGATAATATGCTGCATGTTGCTTAATTTAAAAGTAGTGACTGTGTAGTTGCTGCTCCAGTGGAAATCAGTGGATTGGAATTGCCTTTTCTTTTCATTGTAAACCTTTCTATGGTGGGAACAAAATCGACCTTGGCAAAAAAAAAAAAAATGGAAACACGTCCCTGTTGCAAATCAACAGTCTCAGAATGATCCATTTGCAGCGTAAGTTTATTGAGAGAATAGTCAAACAGGCAGAGGTCAGAGATAGCAAACTCAGCATCAGAGGCAAGGGTTAATCGGGGTCTAATTCCAGGCAGAAGATCAGAACAGGCAGCAAACAGACAAGGACCATGAACCAGGCAGAGGTAGCGTAGGCAGGCAGCAGGCTCGGAGGATAATCACTGGATAAAACGCTCAGTAGTGGTCACAAAGGCAAGACAAAACTTCGCACTGAGAGCTGCTTGTGGTGCGGTTAAATAGCCTGGTAGATAGGCTGCAGCTGGGCATGGTGATTGGAGTCATTAGAGAGGCTTATGGGAATGTAGTGCAAGTCAATATCAGTGCTCGGGCGAGGGTGCTCTCTGCTGGCCAGAGACAGAGGTTGCTGAGTCCGGGATCGTGACAGTCCCGACCCATCACCTGCAAATTAAGCATTTACTGTAGCCTATAGGTTTAGTTCTTCCTCTATTTGTATAGCATAATAAAACTGTTTCCAGGTTTTTCACTCACCTCCAACTATTTCATTTAGAAGACATTAGGGCTAGATTAATTAAAAATTCTTTAAATTATTTTCTGCTGTTTTGCACACAAGCAAACAGATAAAGCAAAATGCAGAACACAAACGCCTTCATATATATTGTGAAAATGTTGTAACTCCCTTGTGTTTAATATCTGTAGGCATCATCGTCTGTCTCTGGATGCCACACTGATGCAAATTACGATTCAACCCCGTTCAGTTAATAAAGGTCCAGTTAGACTTGTCCAGTAAGGTTGTTCATTTTTGGTCACAGATTCCTCTTGTTGCCTTTTATATCACCATATTTGAATGTGCAATAGTCATAGTTTGGGTCTGATGAGAGTTTCAGACTGGAAGTCTAGATTATCATTAAATGCAGTGTCAAATGGAATCACTTCCTGTTTGGGATTAGCACTAACTTGAAAACACTACTCATCATTCTGAAGATCGCAGCTCATCTGTTAAGACGTACTATAAGACACAAGAGCAAATCATGGAATTTGATGCCATTTATGCGAGTCACGAAGATGGTATTGACACAACTGGCCAGGAAGAAGGAAAACCTCGAAAGCTCAGTATGTATAAATTTTTTTTTTTAAATTATATGAAAATTGGGTCAATGTTTCTGCTTTTATATGAAGGTGATTAACATGGAGTTTTTTTGTTTTGTTTTATCAACATGGCCTTATTGTGATATTTTATCATAGCAATTCCAGATGTTTGTCTTATAAAATACACTGTTAAAAAAAACTGTGCAATTTACGGTAAAAAAAAAACGGCAGCTGTGGTTGCCAGTATTTTACCGTAAAAAATATGGTGGCAACCTTTTATATTTTACAGGACTAAAATTTACAGGCAAAAAAAAACACAATGTAAAGAAAACCTGTGAAATTTACTGTAACAAAATGTCAGCTTGGATGCTAGTATTTTACCGCGTTCTGCACTCTCATTATTACTGAAGGAATAATAATGAATCTCTAGACTTTGTTGTTTATGAGGGGATTTGCAAAAGCATAAAGCTTGTGCTGATTCTGAACATACATTGTGAGCAAATTCTCCGCATGTCTGCCGGAATTTGCTCCCTTTTTGTTTACTTCCGTGAATTCTGTTGGAATTTTCCCGCACGTTAATTCTGACCAATCAAAGTGCAGTTGTGGAAATATGTTCAAGACTTGTCTGGCCAATGAGTGATGTTGATTTTCTCACATGAGTGCATTTTTGTTCATTTCATCAACTAATCAACTAATTCAGACCAAAGCATTCAGTGTGCTGTGAAATGAACCAAAACTCCTGAATATGCTACAAGTATCATTTTTCGCCCTTGGGCTGGACTAAATAAACAGATCTACATATGTGAAAGCACCCTAAAGCAAACACTCATCTCCATAATGGTGACTACAAATTTTATTATTTTCAATAAAACATAAAGTTCTAAACCTCTGGTAATTCTCAATAATAACTTTTATGACAAATTGGATTGTAATACAATATTTTTAAATTACAGGCAACCACAGCTGGCTCTTTTTTTTTTTTTACCATAAAAGTTCAATGCCATAAAAACCTAAAATATTAACATATTTTTTACGGTAAAGCACTTGCAACCAGCTGCCAGTTTTTTACCGTAATCTTTAGATCACTGCCGTAAAACCTAAAATGTTTCAATTTTTTTACGGTAAATCGATTGCATTCAGCTTCCAGTTTTTTACCGTAAACTTTAGTTCAATGAAGTAAAACATAAAAATTGCTACGGTAAATGCAACGGTAGGTTTTTTATTTTTTTTACAGTTTACTTCCAAAATCCGTACATTTAACAGTATTTTACATGAAATGTCCCGTGAGAGCTATTACAGTTTTTCACTGTATGTAGTTAGGGTACTGTGATGCAGAGTCAGAGACGTTCAGATCCATTTGCAGTGTTTTAATGGACAGTAGTCAGGCAGGCAGAATACAGAGATCAGCAAACAGGGATGTCAGAGGAAATCCAGAATCATAAACAATACCAGGCAAGGGTTGAGGCAGGCGGCAGACAAGAGACAAGGAACAGCAAACAGACAAGGGTCAAAAACAGGGATGCAAAACAATGTGGTATAACGCTCAGAAATGTTAGCTGGGGCAGAACAAGACTTCACACTGAATGAGTGTGTGAATGAGGCTTATATGGGTGTGAATGAGGTGCAGGTGTGAGTGTAATCAGCGCAGTGCAGGTGTATGGTGTTTGGTGTAATCAGTCCAGGGAGGTGCATGATGGGAAATGAAGTTCAGTATTCAGGTGACGGTGTCCTTCGGTGATAGGAGAGAGCCACGGAGGTGCGATCTATGACAGGTACATACTGTTAAGCAATTAACATGTATTTTCCGTTGCTTTTTTACAGTTCTTTAACGTTACAATTACTCTTTTTTTTTTTACAGCGTAACATACTATTTAAAAAGCCCTGCTATCTAAAGACAAAGGTATAGATTACCTAAAAGGGCTGATTTGAAACTTAATATGAAGGGTATACACTGATATGTGTGCGTTTTGTTTCTGTTTGTCAGGAGGAAGCAGGTGTTTGGTGTTGATGTCAGTGTGTCTCGGGCTCATGTGTGTTCTTCTGCTGGTCTTCATCACACTGTACATCACCATCACAGCAGAGAGAGACCTGTTAAAGAGTTACAAGAACACAGTTGAAGAGTTCAATCACACTATCAACAGCTTACAGGACAAGAACACTGATCTAATGACTGAAAAAGACCAACTGAAGAACAACTTCAGCTCTTTGAATCAGAAGAAACTGGAGCTGGAGACCAGAGTCAATGATCTCAGTGCTGAGAAAAGCCAGTTACAGAGAAGTGTTGACTCTTTGAGTCAGAAGAAACTGGAGTTAGAAAGCAAAGTCACATCTTTGAGTGAGAAACTGACAAAAGCTTTTAACGAAGGTTAGAATCCATTTTTTTTTCTTTTTTTTTCTAGTTTTCTTTATCTTTCATGTACACAGCTTAAGTGTGTGTGTTTCTGTTAGGATATCTGTGTAGTTTAGATGGCTTTTTCCTGTCCAATGAGTCGAAGAGCTGGTCTGAGAGCAGGAAATACTGCAGAGATCGAGGAGCTGATCTGATCGTTATCAACACTGAAGAGAAGCAGGTGAGTTTGTGTGAGTGACTGTTAAAGCTACAATATGTATTTTTTTCATCACTAGGGGTCGCTAACCTCTTACAATAACAAAGCCGTAGGTTGATGACGCATAAGCAGAATTATGGAACTTGTCGTCATGCCGAAGGATCTAATAATGTTTATAGATGAGTGAATACATTGATGTTTTTAACATGACTGTGGTATGAATTGGCGCGATTGCTAATGAGAGACAGATATCAGCGCCACACGCGAGTCCCGCGGATATAAAGGAATGAGGACATTTCATTTACCGAACTACCCGCAAGTGCTGAATTAATACTCACACATTTCAGTTTACACTATCACACTAAACTGCATTTGAGTCTGTTGAAAGTTATAATGTTATTCTATGTATTAATTTGTCTGTATTAGGGGTGGAACGGTACACAGAAGTCACGGTTCGGTTCATACCTCGGTTCAGACATCACGGTTCGGTACGATTTCGGTACAATGGAGGGAAAAGCAAAACAAAAATGCAGAAGGCATTGTATTTTTTAAATAAGCTGTATTAATAAAGGCATAGAACCAGTTTATTTGTAGTGCACTGACAATAGTTTTATATAATTAGTTTATTAATTAAATTAATAAAAAGACAAAAAGACCTTGCGATATGTTTGGCAATTGTACCTGAATTAATTTAAAATTAATTTGCAATATTTCAGATCAATATATTTGTTTTCCTTAATTTTAATTAACATTATTAGTTAACAATGTAACATTATTCTCATCTGAATTCTAAATAATTGATTTCTGTATAAAATAATACTACCATTAAAAACACATTCGATTTTTCAATCAATGTAGAATGTGTAAGATTAGCTAGTGCTCCAAGGACAAGAAATGAAAACCAATGCAATATGATGAATGTCCAAAAGATGGGACCCACAGACTGTTTTGAAATGGAGTTGGATAAATATGTTTTGCTTTTAAAACAGTGTGTGTGTGATTTTGGTTGGGTGACAGTTGTAGGTTACAGTTTGACAAGAGTTTACAGTGTGACAAAAGCACAATGTTGTGTTTTATTGCGAGTGTACACAAATATAAGTAAACACTTTGCAGGTTTAATGATCTGTATGAACAAAATGACGGAGTATGTTTTTTTATGTTTCCACTATTCGATCGCGCCTCCCCCTCTCTCCCTCTCTCCCTCTCTCCCTCTCTCCCTCTCTCCCTCTCTCTCTCTCTCTCTCTCACTCTCTCACACACTCACACACACACACACACACACACACACGGTTCGATCGGGCCCGCGCCCTCTCGCGCGCACACAAACACACACACACACTCCAGCATTGCAATCTTGACATCGCAGCCTGTTCATTATGCAGTCACACCAAACGCGAATAGAGTGTCATATTCGCGTCTATCGCGTCTAGTTCGACGCTAGTCCAAAGCGAATAGGACGTGCGTATAAAGCCAACGTTTGAAGTGAATGCGCGTTCAGAGCTAAGCCGATGGTACAGATTATGTGTCCCTAAAGAACCCGCGTATCTAACAGTAGGTCCGCATTACATGCATTATATTGCACCTAACCCTAACCCTATTTTGCAATAATTTTATTTATTTTTATACCGTGTATTCTCCGTGTAAATTCGTGTACCGAACCGTGACGCCTGTACCGTTTCGGTTCAATACGAAAACATGTACCGTTCCACCCCTAGTCTGTATGAGACTACACAGCAAAATCCCCAGTGTTAAATGAACACTGAAGCAGTGTTAAAGTTAATGAGATAATTAAGTGAATAATTGAGTGATGATTGAGCATTATTGAAGACACCTGATGTTAACAAGCAGAATCACTGAAGGAGAAAAATGTAAGTCTCCATTATGGTGATCAGTGTTTGCTTTAGTTGGGCTCTTGACCCTTAAATCATTAACTTTAGATTTTGTTTGGCTGCTGTACCTGAGTTATAATAGCCAGATGAACAAATAGAAAAGGTGATCTGATGGTGTTGGTTGTGTTTTAACGTAATAATTATTTCACAATCAATTGACCTGAATCACTGAACTCAATAGAGCCCAGTTTCTGAGTTAGGTTTACTTTATTAATTATAGCAGCACCATCCTTGTACAGCATAACATTTTTTTAACTTTTACAATGTAATCCAAATAATTTTTTTAAAGTTTAACTTTTACAAAAAACTGTATTTTTTTTAGACATCAAGTATCAGCCTGTGAATCTCAACAATGGTGACAATTATAAAGCATGTTGCAGTGCATTCTGGGTGCCACCAATCAAAACTCATTCATGACTCCCATCATGCATTTCGGCATGAATAAATAATGAGCTTCTGTTTAGAGGTGATCTGTTTTTCACCATTACTGAGATTCATACGCTAATTCTTGATTTCTTTGTATGCTACATAAACAGATTTTAGAAGGTATTTTTTGTAATTGATTTGATCATTTTAATTTCATTGAAAAGGCTAAAACTTGCATGCTCTACAAGGCCAGTGCTGCTATAATCCATAAGGTAAACTTAACTAAAAAATTAAGTTCTCAATGAGTTGATTCAGGTCAAATAATGATAATGTTAAAACATAACCAATACCATCAGATCACATTTTTTTTCTTTGTTCATCTGGCTGTTATAACTCAGGTACAACAGCCAAACAAAATCTAAAGTTTTTTATCTTAATGATTTAAGGGTCAAGAGCCCAACTAAAGCAAACCCTGATCAGCATAATGGTGACTTAAATTCAGCAAGTCAGTAAAATTCAATAGTAGTAATATAGTAGTAATCTAGATCAACATTAGAATAACTTACTGATCATATTCTAACATTTCATCATGTTGAGCTATATAACATTGATTAGTCTAATAAAGTACATGCAAAAGCGTCTCTGTCAAGCCGAAGTTAGTCGCGGACGTGGAGCTCTCGCATCTCGAAAACGCCACGCTGATATTGATCCTCATTTTAGTTCTCCTTTTATCCCAAAGTCTGCTTGCCATGGTCCATAATGTTTGAACGAAACAAAAACAGCGTGAGTGTTCCGCTAAACATAACGCAGTTGTCCACGTCTGTTGCCATGGTTACTATGCAGTAAGAGCGTAAACCAGGGGGATATTATCAACTTTTGGGATATTGTAAGTACACAATAGGAAATACATCACACTGTGCAAGTGATTTTTGAATATTTTATTACAAAAGTCTTACATATTGTAGCTTTAATGAATGAGAGTAATCACACTAATTCCTGTTTTTATTCACACACAGAGGTGCATAAGTTCATTCTATAAGGAGAGAGTGTGGATTGGTTTGTCTGACATTGAGAACGAGGGCATTTTGAAATGGGTGGATAATTCAACACTGAAACAAGGGTAAGTGCTTAAAGAAAACACTCACAGAAAACCACTCTGGATTTAGTTGGTTGGTCTTTTGTACTCTCATTAAATGAAATGAGACCATCATAACTTTAAGAAAACAACTGAAATTTTATTTTCTACAAACACAATCATGACAACATCCACAATACATGATACTTCCTATAAATAAATTCAAAAGCATCTGCTTATTTTGTATAATGTAAAATGTGGGGTTCTGAATAACTGAACATCTAATACGTTATTTAGGTTTTGGAAAGAGGGTGAGCCGAATGACGATGATGGAGATGAAGACTGTGTTGAAATTATGAATGCATGTTCATCTTCAAACCTGAACAACTGGAATGATCTCCCATGCTCTCATAAGAGAAAAGGGATTTGTGAGAAATAGGCTTCATCCCGTCTTCTTGTGGTTTTACTTCCAATTATTTTATGGAATTAATCCTATTATGAATGCCCAATTTCTAATTGAGGTTCCTGCTTTTTAAAACAGTCTGCTTCATTTTATATAAACTTCTTAAATGTACATTTTATTTCATACTTGTCTGTAATATACAAAATCACAAGCTGATATTCAGATGAAAGGAAATGTAAAATTATCATTATCTTTTATTGCTATAATAAACTCACAACATCCAGTTTCTCACGATGAAGTCTAAAGTTGATCATTATAAATCATAAATCATTATCAGATTGCTCTGATTCATCAGTTATTCTGAAATTGAGTGTATGTGAAACTGCTTTTGCTTTGAATTAAATTGGCATTATTACCATAGTAAACTCACAGCATAACTCTAATGTAATTACATAAATTTAGCACTCATATTCCAGCTATGAACATTTTTGAATAAAAAAAGAAATTTTGACTCAAACAAAAATCAAGTAAAAACACGAGACTTAAGAAAATGTTTTGTAAAACTAGTTTTGTGGGTTAGTGCACTGGATCTCCCTCTAAATAAAAAGCTTATCAATGGACATTTTAATTCACTCAGGCTTTAATGGCTGTTGTAAATTCCAGAGTCGATCTGCTGATACTCGAAGGGTTTGAATCTTTTCCCGGTAAAAGTCTCAAGAGTCACGGCATCATTTCCCTCATGCTTAGGAGCTGCGAGGAAAGGAAGAAAAACAATGGGAGGGTGTACACTGTAAGAAATGAGAAGGAGCTCATGTGTGTGTGTGAGATAAGAAAAACACATTTCAGCTCAAGCCAGAAAGGTTCACACACTAGAGGGAGCTAAAGATCATTATAGGTATAAACGCCCCCATAAGGACTATGTCATTAAATGTGTCTAGAATAGTTATCCTAGTTTTCAGTGACAATTGCCTAAATTATAAACCAAGTATGAAAAATGTCCAGAGTTTTCATGTTATTAGATTTTAAACAAACATTTAATTTGTACTCTGATTTTGCTGTAAATGTATAAAGCAAATTGCTTTGTCAGAGTAGTACAAGCAGTGCTAGCTTAAAATAAAAAAGACAAGCCAAAATAAGAGTAGATAAATAATAATAATACATTTATTACATTTTTTATAGCGCTTTTCTTGGCACAAAAAGCGCTTTACATATAAGGGAAAATCTCCTCAACCTCCAGCAATGTGCAGCTCCACCTGGATGATGCGACGGCAGCCATAATGCGCCAGAACGCCCACACACACACACCAGCTAACTGGTGGAGAGGAGACAGTGATGAAGCCAATCATGACATGGGGATGATTAGGAGTCCATGATGGACAGAGGCCAAGGGGAAAATTTTGGCCAGGGTGCCAGGGTTACAACCGACTCTTTTTCGAAGGACATCCTGGGATTTTTTGTGACCACAGAGAGTCAGGGCCTCGGTTTAACGTCTCATCCGAAGGACGGTGCTCTTTGACAGTATAGTGTCCCCGTCACTATGCTGGGGCGTTAGGACCCACACAGACCACAGGGTGAGCGCCCCCTGCTGGCCTCACTAACACCTCTTCCATCAGCAACCTGGATTTCTCAGGAGTCTCCCACCCAGGTCTAACCAGGCTCAACCCTGCTTCCCAGTGGTTATATCGAGTATTTAAAAAAAGTTTAGAGCATTTAAGTAAATCCGTAGGCATTAATTCATGTATGAAGTAAAAAATGTGTGTGTGTGTGTGTATATATATATATATATATATATATATATATATATCTTCAATAATGGTAAATCATCACTCAATTAATCACTTGTCTCATTAACTTTAACACTGCTTCAGTGTTCATTTAACACTCTTATTTGAACACTTTAACACTCTTGAGTGTGGTCTCAAATAAACACACCGGAGTTTTTGCTATGGTTTGCCGAAAATAACTTTTCTGACAGAATTTATAGACACAAACAGACATCAAGAATCTACGGAGCCCCTAAAGGGACCTTGGCAAAAAAAAATAAAAATAAATAAAGACTATCGCGTGCGCACGCGAAACATATTGCGTGCGCACGCGATACATTTCTCGTGCGCACGCATTACAATTTCCGGTTTGCATACAATGTCACTGTCATTATGAGGAAAACAAGTGCATGGATGTCGAAGTTTAAACTTCTCCTCTAGATTAAAAAAGACCAAAGTGTTATTAAACTGTTGGTTGACCAATAAATCCTTATTTTTAAGGAATAGTTTAACAGGGATATTAATCATCTTATGAATGTGTTTGATAATTATGGAAATATTTTAACATACGAACAATTTATGCAAATCCACATGTTATAATTTTGATGATTATGGCTTACAGCTATGAAAACCTTTTCACAATATTCTAAATTTGAATTTGGGGTTTTCATAAGCTGTAAGCCATAATCATAAAAATTATAACAAATAAAGGCTTGAAATATCTCACTTTGCATGTAATGAGTCTGTTATATATTAGTTTCAACTTTTAAGTTGGGGATGAATTTAAATATTTTTTCTGAATCATTTTCGTTTGTGTAATTGTTTATATTTTTTCAACAGCTCAAGCATACAGGCCTATATAATGTAAAACAGATTAATAAAGGGGAAAAAATGTAAATAATAAATCAGCTCCGGGTCTGAGAATGCGGGACTCTGGGTGCGGGACTGTAGATGCAGCAGGCTCCGAGTCTGCAGCTTCATAATGTTGGGTTTAGTTTGTTCAATTTAAACACATTTCAAGTGTTCTGCCAGTAGAGGGCACTTGTGCAATGCAAGCAAAGTCACACATCTGAGTGAATGGAGGGAAGTTAGTGAGGGAAGGGCATTAAAATAGGACTTTAACATAGCCCTCGTCTTCATCGGGTGCGCATCGAGCGACTAAAATCTAATTCCCATATAAACTGATTCCCTGTTCTATCTATGACGTAAGTGCTTTAGATTTGTGGTTGTTACGTCCTGTTTGGCAGGAGGAAGTACATATTTGCTGTTGATGACTTTGGACCTGTCCAAATACCCACACTTGTGTTCACTTGACTACTATTTTTGGTCAAAGTCGTCAAGTGAGCATAAAGACCGAAAGTGTTTTAAGACGATTTTTTACTCAATGGGACACATTTAATCACTGCTTGTTTGTGGTGCTTCTTAGGCAAACGTTTTACAAAATACACATAGTCTCTGCACCAATAATGTGCAGCTTTACGTTTTACACATGTAACATCTAATTAATTTAACTTGCTTAGGAAAGTTTTCCAAGACATGACACAAAATTGGGTCACATCAGTTCCTGAATGTGAAGAATGACGGGATACGCTTAGCCTCAAAGACTCCGAAGGGAAATTAGGTCCTGCCCCAAATTGACAAACACTTCATGTGCTCTTTCGGTAGGGTACAAGACCGTAGGGTGTCCCATTCATCATTTCATGTTTCAGGAGGGTGCTCACCCTCAATGCGCAGTTTTGACGAGCTCTCAAACCCACGAGCTTCGCATAAGACATCTACTCTACCGACTTTCAAAATCTGCATTACGTCGCTATATTGTGGACTCGTGACCGAGGGCTTAGGGTTTAATTTGGGACAGAGCCTTAGAGATGCTGTGGATTTAGTGGGCGTTAAAGCGTTAGTTCACCCAAAAATGAAAATTCTGTCAGTAATTACTCACCCTCATGTTGTTCCAACCCCGTAAGACTTTCGTTCATCTTCGGAACACAAATTAAGATATTTTTGATGAAATCTGAGAGCTGGATCACTCCTCCATAGGCTTCTTAAGGGATCGAAACTGGCCGGCCCAAAAGTTATGAAAGACATCGTTAAAATAGTCCGAGTGACTACCGTGGCTCAATCTTAAGTTTATCAAGCAACGAGAATACTTTTTGTGCGCAAAAAAAAAAAAAAAAAAGAACGACTTTATTCAACTACTCTGTAAGGCCGTGATATTTCACGTAGTGAAACTACGCAAAGCTTCTAGGTTGCACGTCACACGTAGGCTCACTATTGGCCGACGCTGGTCATGTGTGTGATGCGTGACGTACAACCTAGAAGCTTTGCGTAGTTTCACTACGTGAAATATCACGGCTAATTAACATGATAGTAATGTTGATTTCTAACATTCCAAGAACATAAAAATGTCCAGTTTCCTGAATGTTACTACACAGCAAAAACTCAAGAGTGTTAAAGACTCAAGAGTGTTAAAATTTGAGTGTTAAATTAACACTAAATAGTGTTAAAGTTAATCTGCTATTTAAGTTATGGATTGAGTGATGATTGAGCATTACTGAAGACACCTGATGATAACAAGCAGAATCATTGAAGAAGAAAAATCAAATTTAGTCACCATTATGGGGATCAGTGTTTGGTTTAGTTGGGCAGTTGACCTTTACATGTTTAACTTTGGATTTTGTTTGGCTGTTGTACATGAGTTATGACAGCCAGATGTACAAAGATGAAATGTGATCTCATGATGTTGGTTATCTTTAAACATAATCATTATTTCACAATCATATGACCTGAATCACTGAACTCATTTAGTCCTAATCTCTGACATAGATGTGTATTGGTCATTATTGTATCAAAGTGATTTAACAGCATAAAATCCTGATTTTTCAAAGTAATCCAATAGATTTTTTAAAAGTTGTTCTGCACCAATAATGTGCAATTTTACGTTTTACACATGTAACATCTAATTAATTTAACTTGCTTAGAAACTGAGACACTCTTCCTAGACACGACACAAAATTGGATCACATCAGTTCCTGAAAGTGAAGAATGACGGGATACGGGATTTCGTTTGGGAGTCGGGACAGAGCCTTAGAGATGCTGTGGATTTATGGTGCGTTCACGTGCTATGGTAATTATGGTAAATACCAAAAGCCGACATGGAAAATGCACATGAACACCCCCTCATGTGGTATTTTCCACTGGGCAACTCGTAGAATATTTTGATGCACGAGTTGCCGAGATGAGATTACCTTTGACCTTTTCAAAATGGCGGAGAGCAACGCAAGAGTTGTGAATGGTAAAAATATGTACTATTCATGATCTAGAAAATATACAGCATATATTATTTACGTTTGAGTTTTGATAAATCATTTTCTTGCTGTAGCAGATGACTTAAAGTGCGTATGTCAGGTTAAATTTGTAATTAGGATTAACACAAAATAGTTAGGGGAAATGCACGTTTGACAAGTTGTTGTATTGTTTTGTATGATTTTCGATACCTAAAGGCAGAATATAAGATGAAAAAGTTCGTTATTTTCAGGACTCACTTAAAACTGCTCCTCCGCCCAAACGGATCGTTTGACGTCATAAGAGGGAGACGTCTCCCCAGAGCGCTGAGAAAGTGAGTCTGTGAGCTGTGTTGATAATTGTACGAGTGATAGAGCGAGAGAATTAGTGATTAGGACATTTAGTTAGTTAGTTAGCTATTTAAGTTAGGTAGTTAGTTAGGTATATGCAGGCGTATTTTCACAATGGTGAATTACTACGGTAGTGCTGGGTGCTAAAACACAGTTAAAACCGGTCACAGAGTCCACTTTTTCCCAAAAAGCAGGTCTGTGTTCCGTGCCTGGGTCAACTTTGTTCGGACCAAACGCGCTGACTTCAGTGCTGCTTCGGTATCCAAGACTTCGGTCATTTGCAGCGCACATTTCTTCCAGTTTTTATGTTTCCACTGTTCGATCGCGCCCGCGTGTCTCTCTCTCTCTCTATCTCTCTCTCTCTCGCGTCTCTCTCTCTCTCGCGCGTCTCTCTCTCTCTCTCGCGTCTCTCTCTCTCTCGCGCGTCTCTCTCTCTCTCTCGCGTCTCTCTCTCTCTCGCGCGTCTCTCTCTCTCTCGCGCGTCTCTCTCTCTACTTTAGTGCTGCTTCACACACACACACACACACACCAACACCAACATATTCCAGCATTGCAATCTTGACATCGAAGCCTGTTCATTATAGCCACGGAGCTTCAGAGCTAAGGCGGAGCTACAGATTATGTGTCCCTAAATAACCCGCGTATCTAACAGTAGTTCCGCATTAATTAATGTGCACGCGAGTTTTATTTATTTTAATACTCGTGTATTCATGCACTGAACCGTGACGCCCGTACCGTTTCGGTATACATGTAACGTTCCACCTCTAAGTTATGCCTATGCACCTGCCCAACTCTCCACTGGTTATCTTCACACCAGATATTTATGTTTCTTCGATAGGAATTATTTAAATTTCTGTTTGCCTCCTCATCTGTCTCACGCCTGGGAGGCTCAAAAGTGTATGGCTGTGGGGGGATTTTGAGGGGGATTTTGGATCTGCTCAGACTCAAAACTCCCCATACTTGAATAGAACGTTTGTGGCACGACTCCCTCTTCTGACGTCACAGCTCAGCTGTGTTTTAAAAATATGATCTTGACAGAAATGGCTATAAAGCTTACTGTAGGGTAATTACAGTAATAATTTTAATGATAATTACATTTTCACTCAGACATCTAACCCTTATTTAATATATCTAAAAAAAAAAATTTAACCTGACATAGACACTTTAAGGAATCTAAAATAGTTTTAGCTAAATAACAGGTCTGGATCTCCATCTTTTTACCACATTACGACAACAAAAGCACTTGAACGCAACACACTGGTAAATACCAGTTCACAAGTGGAAAATATCATATTTTCCATAGCACGTGAACGCACCATTAGTGTGCGTTAAGTGTACTGTGCTTTGAACAGTCTTGCACACTTACTTCCCGTCATGTGCACACACTCTCAAGTGACCAAGACCGCATTTGGACAGACCCAACATCCCGATCACAGAAGAGAGAGAGAGAGACCTGTTTAAGAGTTTGATGCTCTTTCTCTGACACAGATCTGCAAACTTTACTGTCGTGGTTTTCATTTCTTCTGAAGTACACATTCACATAAAGCATGCTGATCCTTTCAAAGAAGAAAAAATGGTTAGGATTAAAACACCGGTGATTACATCATCTGTCACCACTTCTTCATCATGATTTTGTAACCCGTTTTGTCAGAGAAAATCACTTCCTGTGTAGGTTTAGCACTGCTTTAGAAACTCTACTCATATTTCTAAACACAACTCATCTGCGAAGACGAATAATGGAGATAGACACCATTTATGAAAATGTTAAACACAAAGATGTTATAGACACACGTGGACCTCAAATACAGAGTCACAGACAGGATGAAGGACAAGCTCAGAAGAAAAGTAAGGAGAAAGATTTCAATCATGGTTTTCTATGACCTGTGTCAATGCTTCTGCTTTATAATAAAGTTTTATTATTGTTATTCTATTTACTTCCTCAGCATATGTTCTCGTTTACATATTTTACTGTGTAGCAATTCCAGTTTATAATTTTAACAGAACACGCTTATTACAAAAGACAAAGCTGGATTACTTTTAAGGGCTGATTTGAAATGTTACAGTAATAATATGAATTGTCGTTTACTGATATGTGTGTTTTTGTCTCTGTGTGTCAGGAGGAAGCAGGTGTTTGGTGTTGATGACAGTGTGTCTCGGGCTCATTTGTGTTCTTCTGCTGGTCTTCATCACACTCCAGCACATCACCATCACAGATTTAACAGAGACCAACGAGGAACTGAACAACAATTCTGGGCACTGTCAGTACAAATCTGTTTTTCTGCAAGTGGTTTCTTTTACGATACAGTTTTGAAAAGTGTTTATGCATAAAAAATCTGTGTGGTCCAGTTTGTTTTTCCATATCCAACGAGGAGATGAGCTGGAATGAGAGCAGGCAGTTCTGCAGAGATCGAGGAGCTGATCTGATCATTATCAACACTGAAGAGAAGCAGGTGAGATTGTGTGAGTGACTGTTAAAGGAGTAGTTCACTTTACAATGAAAATTAGCCCTTGGTTTACTCACCCTAAAGCCGTCCTAGGTGTAAATGACTCTCCTCTTTCAGACGAACACAATCAGAGTTATATAAAAAAAAAATGTCCTTTCTCTTCCGAGCTTTATAATGGTAGTGGATTGCAACCAACAGTTTGAAGCTCAAAAAAGTGACTCCATCCATCATAAAAGTGCTCCACGCGGCTCTGGCGGGTTAAAAAAGGCCTATTTTTGTGTAAGAAAAATATTAATATTTAACATGTGACAAAGTAAAATTCTATCTTCCGGTTAAACGAACACACTCAGTCATACACGCCTAAAGCGCAACTTATGCAACTTGTGGCGTCAGAAGTAGCGAGTGCGTCATGGCGTAGCGTAAATATCAGCAGCGTCACATTACTCGCATTAGTAGCGCTTTAGACTTAAAGGTGCTATATGTAGTTTTTAGCGGCCTCTATCGGTGATGTTTCAGATTGCAACCAATTTTTACAAGAGCGCTCTTGCGCGTACTCATGGTACCGGCCACACTGAGACTTTCAACACACCGGAGAAAGCATCACACAACATGCTGGAAACTCATGTAAACTCCCACAGCAACGTTACAATAATAGGCTACTTTTATCAGCTTGACGTTGAACTAATGCTCCATGCTCGTACCATGATAACGTTACATTTGTGGTGTTATCTAGCATAAGGCATTTTACTAACTATTCGTGTATCTTTCACAATCAGCAATGTCAACATAGGTGAATGTATAATATGATAACGAAAACGGTTAGTGACTAGACTGAACAATTTCAGTGTATCAGTAAGATCGTAGGAAGTAACATTACTGTACTGAACATGTCTGGAAATGTGTATTATAAACAATATGATAGTAGTGGGATGAGTGACGTTAGACAGTATCTAATACATAAAATAAAAGTTACATCCTAAAGCACCTACTTTTTGTTATCCTGGAACAGTCTTTTGTATTCATTTCATGTCCCATGTAGTTTACCTTGCTATTTCATTACAGTTTACCATTATTTATTTCAGCATATCTGAAAACTTGTAATTTATCACAATAAAAATAGCAGAGGTCTCTCCATAATTCAGACGCTCTGCCGATGTTGATCTGTGTTTTCGTCCTAAGTCGATCCGATTCACGTTTGGCCTGACAAGCTTTAGCAGATACATTTTTGTTTTGTTTTGTATATGTATGTGGAGTTTGTGTTGGAGTGTGTGTTGTGTTGGAGTGTGTGTTGTGTTGGAGTTTGTGTTGGAGTGTGTGTTGTGCTGGAGGCAGGTCGTTTTTTGGTGTTATCAGACTCCGTGTCGTCAGCTGCAGTGCCGTCGCAGACTGTATATAAAAAGGAGAGAGGCTCGGGAGCGCGCATGCACGTCACATCCGATGGATTTCACGGTAAATCCGACCCGGAGACTTTACATAGAAATAGGAATACTGGCCTTCAGAGGTAATAGCAAAACCCGACAAGTGGATCATTGTAATGTGTGATTACAACCCCTTCACACACAGGCAATAAAAAAAAGGATTCATTTTAGAAGAAAAGTTACATAGAGCACCTTTAAGTCAAATCCGGATGTTTGTTTGGCCGGAAGCTAGTTATTTTACTTTATAATTTTTTTTATATTTTTCTTACACAAACACATCGCTTCACTTCAGAAGGCCTTTATTAACCCCGGAGGCGTGTGGAGCACTTTTATCATGGATAGATGCACTTTTATGAGCTTCAAACTGATGGTTCAATCCACTGCCATTATAAAGCTTGGAAGAGCCCAGACATTTTTTAAATATAACTGGTTGTATTCGTCTGAAAGAGGAAAGTCATACACACCTAGGATGGCTGGAGTGTGAGTAAATCATGGGCTAATTTTCCTTTTAAAGTGAACTACTCCTTAAATCACTGAATGAGAGGAATCACTTATTACTGGTTTTATTCACACAGAGGTTCTTAACCTCATTCGTAAAGGAGAGAGTGTGGATTGGTTTGTCTGACGAGAACAAGGCCAACTTGACATGGGTGGACAATTCACCACTGATTCAAACGTAAGACTTAAAACACTTGCATAAAACCACTGCTTATTAGGTTTAGTCATCATACAATGTATTATACTCTTCTTCTCTCTTTCACTTCTGCTTCATCTTCAGTACAAGTTTAGGACTGTTGATTCATGAATTGCTTGTGTTGCTCATAATTTGTCATATGTTCAATGATTAAAACGAATAGTTAAACATTTGGGGCTCTTAATAATAATTCGGACACATTTTATTCAGGTTTTGGAAAGATGGTGAGCCAAATAGCCATGATGAGAACTGCATTGAACTGGATCCTGGAAGACACCCAGTGAACAACTGGAATGATCTCCCATGTTCATGGAAGATTAAATGTATTTGTGAGAAATAGTTTTCATACAGTATTGTCATGCTTTTACTTCCATTATCTTATGGAATCGATCTTATTTTGATCACATAACTCATTATTTAGTGTCCTGTCTTTCAAAAATGTCAGTTTATTTCATCATAAACTGCTTTCATGTGAAATTCTGCACTTTATCGGATGTGTTCATGTCTTGCTCCATCACAAACAGCTCTATATTAATATATAACTAGCTGTTATCGTGATGAGCCTCTTGTTAGTCTGAAATGTTGAGGTAAAAATCACTTACAGAAGTGTGAAGTCTCCCAGCTCGCCCTGAATCACCCTATTATTCTGATATTGAGTGTCTCTGCGAAGCTGTTTTTGAATCGCTTCTGTTTTAATAAAATGTTCAAATGCCTCTTATCACCGCATTTTTGTTTTTATTTCATATTGAATTGTTGTAGGATCTGCTTTATTGTGCTATAAAGACTTCTCCAGTCCAGCAGGGCGCAATGAAGAGCAGATTCATCCCACTGAAGTCCTCAGAGAGGAAGAAAAAGACATCAGATCAACAGCACTTGCTTCTGTCATTTCAGTGTCTTTGCGGCATCTAGAGAAGCTTTTCCCTCAGGATCCTGGGGAAAGGACGGGTTTTGATTCTTTCATTTGGTTATTTGAAACCATGTTCATGCTAATCCTGCATTAAATGATATGTTCTTCAAGATGTTCCAGCAATAAGTAAAAATGCATGTATGGCGACCATCTGAATAGTTTAAAAAGAGAACTAATAACCCCACCAAGAGAAACCCTGCTTCTTCTTCTTCACATGCAACAGCTGAGGTCCTTTGTGGAAAAACCCTGACTCTGCTTTCACACTCCCGCTGGATTTACCTCAGACGTCTCGGTGAATCGGGCAGTTTTTAAGAGGATCTCTTCCGTAAACACAAGGCCGATTTCTGTGCATCAAACCCTGTGAACCATCATGGCCAAAGTGCAGGTGCTGAACGTGGCTGTTCTGGATAACCCCAGTCCTTTTGGAAACCCGTTTCAGTTCGAGATCACGTTTGAATGCATGGAGGACCTACCTGAAGGTGAGCGATTTCACAAATTAACACTATTTAAACACGAACTTGGTAATTACTGTATAGTCGAATACCGAAGGCTTTAGAAGCATTTTTTTGCTGTCATTATTCCGTAATCAGCAAGAATAATTCGAATTGTCATGGTGATTTTTACGCGGGAAAAGTCTTATTGTCAGTTGTTAGTGTTCACGCGCTTAATATTTTGGCGCCGGCGGGGAGTTCGATGACAGCGCGAGGCCGCCCCTCCTTCGCTGATTGGTCTGATAGTACAACCAATGTATTTGTGCTGGCTTTGATTGGTTGGAAGTTATGACACCACGTGTCCGGAAGCGCTACGAAGATTTGCGAGTTGAGCTTTATGATTAATTTACTAGAAATGTTAAATTCGGTTCTATTACTGAAATACATTTGTTTTATTTTATAAACACAAATTATAAGCGAGACACTCTTGAAGTTATTAGTTAGCCCCTTTAATTTGTTTGGTAAATTGATATCCATATGCAAAAATGAACACTCTTAAACGAGAGTTTGAAAACATTTTTCACTGCCAGACTTGTAAATTATACCACTTTTTTTTTGGGCACTACAGTGATATCTAATCCGTTTTTAATTTTTTATCTATTTATGTATATAAGTATAATGTAATATTATGCCATTATATTATGTACATGTTTCTATTTTTTGTACGTACAATAAAAATATTGTGCTGGATTTATGTAGCTATTCCTTTGGACATTGTTGCTTTTCCCCAGCATTTGCATTATCAAAGTAAAAAAAAGAAAACATTAGGCTTGTTTCCACACGGTTTTTCACATAAAAAAGAGAGAAGAAAACATGTTATTGAATTGTTTTCAGTTATAGCCACCAACTTAACAGTGATTATGACACTTAATGGCCAAATAAAATGCTCTTTAAAAGTTGCTGGCATACATTTGAAGGCAAACCTAAGAATATCAGTTTTTTGATAAGTGAGATAAGGTTTTTGGTTAACATTAGGGTAAGAAATGTTGTCTTACAAATACAAAACCTCAAATAATATAATACTCCTGATATCATAACCAAATATAAAACACTAAATACACTTATAATGACTACGAAGGTTGTCCAATTCGACAAGCATGTAAACTCACATCCTTGTGGTAATTTTGCACTAAATGCTCAATCTGCTGTATTGTTTACTACTCTTGAGTTCATAGTATTGGAAAGACCTTGTGCAAATGATAGATTTGAATATGTTATTTCTAATAGTTTATCCCTCGGTTTCTCTCAGATCTGGAGTGGAAGATCATCTACGTGGGCTCTGCAGAGAGCGAGGAGTACGACCAGGTCCTGGACTCGGTTCTGGTCGGCCCGGTTCCTGCAGGAAGACACATGTTTGTGTTTCAGGTGCGCTTACACACTTCTTCCTGGTTCAGTGCAGTTTCATCCTCTTCCATCTCAGCTCTATGCAGTGATAATACCTTCCTGGTGAATAGATTGCAGTGCACTCACTGCCACCTAGAGATGCTCTGAGAAAATACAATGTACATCTGCAGTAAAGTGCACACGTTGGATTAAAGAGGAATTTTGAGATTTCTCTCAGTTCCTAAAAAGTGCTAAACGATGAAACATTTTACCACTTACAATTGAAGATAGTTGTTGGCCAAATTAATATGTAAATTCAGCCGTCCATATGCATGCCTGGATGAGTCCCGGGAAGTCAGTGAGGTTGTTTTTGAGCTGAGGTTCAGCTTTGTTTGAGATAAGACTATCGGACAGCTTATCCCACCGAATACACAGGTTATTTTCTGTTATTTTTAGGGGAGTTACAATATATCGTGTCACAATATTTCACAATACAAATATGGATTGTGTGAAGTTCACCCAAAATTAAAATTGCTGTGTGAAAAAAAAATCAAGTTTTCAGAGTTTTAGTGTCAGTACGACATTAAACTACTATATATAATGTTGAATATAATGTATAATAATGCAATGGGGGGGGGGGGGGGGGGGGGGGGGGGATATTTGTGCGTCCTGATAATGCCAAATGTCTGATGTTACCAGTAAAAAGTCTACATGGTTTTAAAAATATCTAGCCAGTGAAAGAATATTCGTCTATAATAATTCTGTATTTTCAGCTTCAGAATCATGAATATTGTTATTCTGGTGTCTCTATTGTCCTGTGCTTTGGGTTTCCAATTCCAAGCCATTTACACACACACAATGTAACACCAAATTTTGCATTTTAAACAACAGTACATTTATTGTTAACCTTTCATCATATGTCTTGGAGTATCACAATAATATCGTGTCGTGATATGTATCGAATCGTGACACGAGGGCATCGTTACACTCATAGTTATTTTCAGTGTGTTACTGTATTGATCTTTTGGAAACGGTTGAATGCATCATCATCATCAACTCAGATTAGTCTTTTAGGGTTGAAAAGGGGCTGAACATTTCTGGTAAATTTCTAGAAAGTTTCCAAAACTCCCCTAAAAATCCTGGAAAGTTTCAGAAAATTCTCGACCGTTTCTGTGAACTTTGCACCCCTAGACAAAGGGGCGTTTGTAGATCTCATGTTGTGTAATGAAGGCATCTGAGTGAAGGACGAGTTTCTCTCTCTCTTGATTGACAGGCGGACGCTCCAAACACTGGGCTGATCCCTGAGAGTGATGCGGTGGGCGTGACCGTAGTGCTGATCACATGCACCTATCGGAGACAGGAATTCATTCGCATCGGATACTACGTCAACAATGAGTACACAGAGCCCGAGCTACGGGAAAACCCGCCGGTCAAACCCAACTACACACAGGTGAGACATTACATTCAGACTGAGCTTGCGACCTGAGTGTGTGTGTGCTGAGTGTTACAGCACACACACACACACAAAAGAGTAGGATTCCACAAATTATGGTTGTACTGCTGTTGAAAAATGAATGTACACAAACTAAAGAGTCAAATTAAGACTATTATAAAACACTGTTTTGATTTTAAATGTCTTAAAGGTTTATTGATTTGCTAAATAATGAGCCATTATCTCGATATTTATAATCATTAGCTATGTTTTCATCCAAAGTTGTGAATTTAGCTTGCAATGTCGGATGTCGATGAGAACAAAATCATCACTTCCTGTTAAACTGGCGCCAAATATCTAGAAAAGTTTTGGTCTTTTTCATATCAATGAAATTCGTGAGCAGACGTCACAGTTACGTCACTTGCAGCTACGCACACACCGTGATGGCAGAAAAACACCTGGTAACAAGTGGAGGAAAATGAGCAAAATCTATGAAACCAGAGGATGTCAGAAACAAAATGCATAAAAAGATGGTCTTAATATTTATAGTATATGTTGTTGCCCTTTGAAGCTAAAGCTAGCCAATAAACAGACTGACTGGACTGATGAAACCTTCCATGATTCGTCTACTATTAAAGCCTGAATTTGATGTAAACTATAGGTCTACATTATTTATTTATTTATTTATTTATAATATATATATATATATTATAATAATAGTACAATATTATTATATTCACATATGCAGCTTATAGGTGGCATAATGTATTAGCCCTACATTTACAGCATGAAATAATATTTAAACCTACCATTTTATCACAAATTCTGACATTTTCTTGCAGTTGTGAGATTATATCTCTTAATTCGAACTTTATAACTTCATAATTTATAACAATTGTGAGTTTATATCACAATTTTCAGGGAAAAAGTCACAATTGCAGGATTTAAACTCGGAGTACTGAGGAAAAAAGACAGAACAACGAGTTTATATCAATTCTGATTTTTCTTCTTAGAATTGTGTGAGATAAACTTGAAATTATGTTTTTTATTCTTCCATAGAGGTCATTATTGACGACAGATTTTGCTTCCATCTGTGTTTCCATCGTAGTTTATGTGCATGTTTTCTTATCGGATAACACATTTTCACGCATCAATTGAGCGCATACGTTTAATTTATGCGCATTTTTTGAATTTATGCGTATCTTGGCGTTTCCATCCTGCATTTAAAAAAAATAAAGAAATTTATGCGATATCTCAAAATGCGCATTCATAAAAAATAGGTGGGTAAAAACCAAATATTAACAGCAAGTAAAATACAGTAAAATTCGAGTAAAACATTATTAAAGCATATTTTACACACTGGTTTTTACCGAATGAGCATAATGAATTATATACATCAATATAACAGTTAATATAGATATTATTAATATATAATATATTGAAACTATGAATTTTTACCGGAATATGGGAAGCAGGAATACAGATGTGCATTTAGACGAAGACTCATTGGCACTCATACACACGATGCATGTTATACGTTGAGAGTGTGTTTGTGTCACACAGATCTGCTGTGTGTGAAGTGTGGTGATGCGGTCAGATCAAAGAGGCAGGTGTCTGCCGTTTATAGCCCAGCATCGCTTATCATTCATTCTGCTAAACCATTCCGGATCGCTGCCATTGTGCGTGTAGTTCCCGAATCCCATATTTCCATTAATCCCATTCTGTTGTGAATAAGAGATTCTTAAACCATTCAATGAATATGTAAAACTCATTTGACGCATAAAACGGGTGAATGGGAAACAGACACCACTACTGAGGTATAATTGAACGGTTTACAATTAGGTTTCCATTTGTTAACATTAGTTAAAGGGATCATGACATGGATTTTTTAAATTATTTTAATATGTTCCTTGAGGTGTACTAATAAGGTTAAAGTTTTTGTACAAAAAAACCCAAACAAATATATAAATACAGACTCTTTCAACCCTCGTTCTGAGCCTCTGTCTGAAATGATCCGTTTTTAAGGCGCGGCTCCTTTAAGGCTTGCCGGTTAACGCCCACTGTTATGATTGGCTGACGTCTCTGCATAGGAAACCGTATTAACACTCACTCGCTATTGCATGTAAGTGTTTTATAATGGCTTCTGTTTGCGTTTGACGCGACGCTCACATCGTGTAGGCGAGTATCAGCCGTTAAGCGACTGAGTGCCAGTGGGCGGGGCCTATGATGTGATGATGTAACACTATTGGTGGATGTCTTGCTCTGGAGGCGGGCATATGCAAATATATTTGCCAAACGAGCCGTTTTTTTTTTTTTTTAGATTGATCAAATAAACGCTTTGTTTATAATGAGGAGGATGTTTTAAGCTATGACAATTGCAGGATGATTGAATGGTACAAAGACTGTCATGACCCCTTTAACTACACTAGTTACCATGAGCTAACATTGAAAAAAGTCTTAATGTTCATTTCAACATTTACTAATACAGTGTTCTGTATCTGTTAATATTATTTAATGGACCTGAGCTCACATAAATAACAATGAACAGATGTATTTTAATTATTGCTCATTGTTAATCTTAGTTAGTGCATTAACTACACTCTAAAAAACAACTGGGTTAAAAACAACCCAATGGCTGGGTAAATATAGGAGCAAATTGGGTTGTTTATTTAACCCAGCATAATTGGTTGATTCGTTTTTACTATAGTACTAGTTTTTTTCTTCTTCACTTCCTCTAAACTTAAAAAAAAATACTCCGCACAACCACTGGTTTGCATGATAATCCCTTTATTTTTTATCATATTTTACAGTATAGCATAAATGATATTGGTGATTTGCATAAAATTAAACGATATACAGAACATTAACGGATTTATAGATACAAAAAACACGTACTCAAACCTGCATTTTACCATAGACACGCAGCAAAGGATCTGGGTAACACAAAAACTACTCAAACACTGAAAAAATAACACAAAAATATTTTATTTATATTTTAATATTTATGTAGAAAAAATAACCCAAGATGTTTAAGAGTGTAACGTTAACTAGTGGGACCTTATTGTAAAGTGTTACTAATATATTACATTTTAAGGAATAATGTTAGCATTGAGTCTCGCTGACAAATCATTATTCCTTTTCATGTTTCATCATGTTTTTTTTTTTTTTTTGTGCCGATCCGCAGCTTCAAAGGAACATCTTGGCATCGAACCCTCGGGTGACCCGTTTCCACATTAACTGGGAAGCAACGATGGACAAGATGGAAGATTCAGAGAATGTAGACCCCGCCCCCAACACCATGCTCCCGCCCACTTCCATGCCCGGCAAAGCCCCGCCCCTCGGACTCATGCCCGACAACTCCATGGACTGCTTATAGGACTGACACGCAACAACAACCTCATTCATAAAGTAATACATGTGTTGTCTTGTATTTATACACCTACATGTTCTCTCAGTTGTGATTGGACACAGTCAGGGACTTTTCAGGCCTTTTCTTGCACTTCCTGTCTCGAGCAGCAGGGGGTGGAGCCTACACACTGGGGGTGGAGCCTGCAGCAGGGGGCGGAGCCTACAGCACCAGCAGACATGGACTGTTTTCTTCTGGTTTCCTCGGGTGCGCATCACTAGTGGAAACATGTTCAGGTCATGAAAACATGATCCAGTCACATTTCTCTGCGCAGTTAAAAAAATAAATCATATTTACCTTAAATACAATCCATTTTTTGGATTTGTTTACAAATATTACCCCAATTTTGTCTTTATTATAATGCAAAACAAGCTCATTTTCATTACTGCAAATAAATAAAACATTTTTATTGATGATATAATAATAATTGGTGTAAATTGTGGATGCTATAATAAAAAAATCCCCATGGAGAATATATATTAATAATAATAACATCTGTAAGCTTTGTTTTTATTTTAATTCCGGAGTGAAATGTGACTGACGTGTTTTTGTGAGATTCACGCTGGTCAGAAATCGGCAACTTTTCCGGGAGTGTTTTTCTCGGATGCGTTCGGAACTCCTCACAACTCGGTTTCTGTTTCGTTGGAGTGAGAGTATTTAGAGAAGTGTTTTGGTTTTAATCTAAATGCCTGGTTTATATTGGTACTTTTTCTTCCCATGTGATTTCTGTTTATGAAAAGTCTTCGCCTGAATAAATATTAACTTTTGTCTTTGTAAAGCGGTCTTTGGTTTTCTCTCCATCCTCTCGCTCTTCCATACGGATACACACCCTGTGTGTGTGTGTGTTTTTATGATGTTGCTAGGCAACCGCTATTAGAGATGGCACTTTGGGCTGCTCCACCTTTGATCCACGCATCACATCAGACAACTACTCTTCCTTTCATCCCTCCCTCTATTCTCTGTCCTCTGATGTGTGTGTGGAAATGTGCAGTCTGTGGACGAGAGGCCGGCGACGCCGACATCATGATGTGCATTCAGGAATTCATATTTGCCACATGAGCAGAAACTTATAAAGCTTCAGAAAATACTTTTTGCTTTGTTTAAAAAAAAAATCAGGATGACTGCAGTTTACAGTACAAGGACCAACGGGGCAGTGTTTTAGGATTGAGATTTATATATATATATATATATGTGTGTGTGTGTGTGTTTTCCCATTTTATTTAAAGTTAAAAAAAATTAGTAAAAAAAAATATTTTAAATATGTCTATAGTATTTATTTATTGTAGTTTTAGTTATTGTATTACATCAAGTTAAACTTAGCTGAAATAAAATCAATTTAAAGGGACACTTTGTAACTTTTGGCCTGTGGTTAAAAAAACGCATGCATTTTGCGGAAGAACATTGTGTTGGTTGTGCTTTGGCTCCGCACGACTGGATTAATATGAGCCTTCACGATATCTCATGCTTTACAGTGAACTCTGTTAGAGAGATACATGTATCTGTTCAATAAAATAACTTGCCTGTTGAGTAATAAAAACGTTAATTTAGTTAATTTTTAAAGTCCTCCTGTGGTGAAAATACAACTTTTAATGTTGTTTATATGTCTATTAAGACAAACCATGTGTAAATTCATATGTCGACAGCATTGCTGAGTATTTTCTGCTTAAAACTGCAGTGAACCAAAGACAGTCTCAAAAACACGGTTTGAAATCGCTGGTGTTTCTGACGTCACACACTACCTCGTAACCAATCAGATCAACGTGTGATCGTCAACCAGTGGATCTCTGAGCTGAGTGAGTGAGTGGAGGCGGGGCTTATTTGCATATTCATTGAACCGTGGATACTAAATGAGGCAAGGGTGTCGAGTTACATTCAAGATTTAAGACATGACAATTTTTTTTTTTCAAGGAAAATCTGTTATACTAAATAACTAAGTCCATGTTCCCAGGACAACAACAGTGGAAATGTTCAACATACAGTCAAAGCAAAATTTATTCAGACACCTTAAACATTTCTTATATTATCAGTTTATTCGCTGTAGTTTAGAAAATGGTAATAAAATATGAGCAGAAGTCAGAGTTATCAGATCAGTGGATATTTCTCTGGTTTTGTCCATCCTTGTTAGACTCTCACACATGAATTATGTTGAATATCTGTCAGCTGTTAAATTTAACTACACAATCATATACCAATTTAGCTCAACCAATTACCAAGCAATGCTTCATTTTGTTCAGTCTGTGGTGTAAAAAAAAATATATATGTTCAGGTCAAAGTGTCTGAAAATGTTTTGGTCCCAAATGTGTATACATTTTACTGTAGTCCACAGTAAGAAGAATTTTTGGGTATAATATCACAGTTTACTTTATTTAGCTCTCCTCACTTACATAAATGAACGTCCTGCACACACTAAAAAGTATAAAAAATATCAAAAATTATAATTATAATTTTTGTGGTTTGACTGTATGTGTTTATTTTATAAGACAGTGAAACTTTTTTCTTTTCTTTTTTGCATTTTAGCTGATTTTTTATATTTAAGTTTCATATTATATATTTTAAGTTTTATATTTCTTACAGTTCAAAATATTGCGGCAGTGACACAATGTCCTTTTATTGGAGCCAATATGTGTTAAATGATTGGCATCGTTTTTTCCCCAGGACAACAACAGTGAAAATGTTCAATACATGTGTTTATTTTATAAAACAGTGAACATTTAATCCACTCAATAACATCATTCATAAAGTCCCGTCCATTTTAATAAACACAAAAAAGGGACAGTTCTCTTTCTACATTGGCTAATCACAACTCACAACAGCTTGATCAGTGCCTGTCAATCACTCCACACATCTGTCCGCCTGGCCAATGGGGTGAGCCAGGGGCGGGGCTCAGTCCGTGTGGGCGGAGTCTGTGTCGATGGCTACGGGAAGCGCAGCTGCATGAACGATCATCTCACCGATCCTGCGTCCGTGTTTTTCACCCGCGATTCCCGGAACACGGAACAGCCCGCGGGGCGAGCGAGCGAGCGAGCGAGGGACTGCGGGGCCGCGGAGGTGCGGCGGAGAGCCAAGCCAGGAAAGGACGCCCGAGTGCGGGTTGATGCTGGCGGCCCGTCCGCCCTTTAAACACGGATGCTTCTGCGTTCATAAGCGATCGCCGTTTATCCGTGAACAGATCGGACGCGTTAACGTCCACTATTTTCACTCTCAAAGCCGATCGGCAGGCGTCAATCGCACGAACGGACCGTGAGAGCCGAGGCGCGGCAGGAGCATCATCTTCCTGCGGGTCTCCAGCGCCTGACAGGCCCGGAGACATGGGCAACACGCCGGCCGCCAAACGGGGAAACGAGATGGAAAGCGGTGGGTGTCTTTAAAGCTTCCCAATCATTCTGTTTAGTCATGATCGATCATGGCGATCGGTTTCATCATCAGATGCTCAGATTCCTCGGGAATATATTCGTGCATGTGTGAGGCTTCAGCAAAGAGAGAGAGAGAGAGAGAGAGAGAGAGAGAGAGAGAGAGAGAGAGAGAGAGAGAGAGAGAGAGAGAGAGAGAGAGAGAGAGAGAGAGAGAGAGAGAGGATGCTGATGCTGTCATGGCGATTCCAGGCTCAAACAATGTGTTGATGCTTTAATAAGCGCTTCGTTTGGGGGTTTTGTGTGTGTATGCTGTAACGTTACCCTGTATATAACATATCAAGAATGTTTATTCGACAGATAAGACTCTATATGTGTGTATTTGATGGGTCCAGATGTGTACAAGGTCTGAACAAAACAGCAAGAACCCCTAATATTCAGGGGACCACGTATCAAAATGTGATATTAATTGACATCTATGATGGTTACGGCCCTGCTGGTTGAAATGTTTAACCCTGGGTTAAGTCATGTTTCACACGGTTCATACTAACCCTGGTTTAGCCTAGTAATTAGGCTGTCAGATTTGAAGATTTCACACTTCACACATTTAGGCTAAAACCCATCAGGGTATCATCATTATTTGCATATTTACATTGTTACATCGAGTTGCAATCTGTTTTAATAATGCTCTAAAATCACGCTTGCCCTTCACTGTTGACGTTTTTAATGAGTCTTTCTCTTCTGGAAATCAAATCAAAATTGTCGACGGCATCATCTTGCATTTTTTTATGTCCAATAAAATGCGCTCTGAAATTATCCCATCACGGCTCGCGGCTGTGACGTGAACCAGAGGCTACTGGCTATTGATGTTAATGAATACATATTCGATATGTCCCACCAAACCTTCCTGCCACCAAACCTTCCTGTTTCAGTATGAAATGTCAAAACAGGAACAAAAACCGCTCAGCCGTTTCCCTCGATGCTGACGCTTGAGAGTTTCTGTGACTATACAAAATTAATTCATATTTTTTGAGGCAGGAATTATTTTATGATTGGTTTATCTTTTGCGAAACAACTCAACGTAACGCATACCTCTGCTGGTGAAAATTTGGTGCTGCTAACCCCTGTTACGAATACAAGTGTGAAACATAGCTTAACCCAGGGTTAAAAGTGGCCTTTCACCCAAAAATGAAAATTATCCAATAATTTACTCACCCCCGAGCCATCCTAGGTGTATATTTGACTTTCTTCTTTCAGCCAAACACAATTAGAGTTACGTTAAAACATAGCCTGGCTCTTCCCAGCTTTATAATGGGAGTGAATGGTACCTGATATTCTTAAAGCGTTAGTTCACCCAAAAATGAAAATTCTGTCAGTAATTACTCACCCTTATGTTGTTCCAACCCCGTAAGACTTTCGTTCATCTTCGGAACACAAAGTAAGATATTTTTGATGAAATCTGAGAGCTGGATCACTCCTCCATAGGCTTCTTAAGGGATCGAAACTGGCCGGCCCAAAAGTTATGAAAGACATCGTTAAAATAGTCCGAGTGACTACAGTGGCTCAATCTTAAGTTTATCAAGCGACGAGAATACTTTTTGTGCGCAAAAAAACAAACAAAAAGAACGACTTTATTCAACTACTCTGAAAGGCCGTGATATTTCAAGTAGTGAAACTACGCAAAGCTTCTAGGTTGTACCTTTTGTATATAAAATTTGTATGTATTTATTTTGTATATAAAAATATCCATATTTAAACTTTACACTCTGTAATCACTGGCTTCCGTTAACGGCCGTACGCGAGTCTAGTTCCGGCGGACGAGTGACCCCTGACCGGAAGAGTGACCTCTGACCCGACACATGACGTATTGATGAGGATAAGGATCGAGCAAAGCAAAACCTTGGTCATGAATTAGAAGTCTAAAACAAGAGTATTTGAAGAGAAATGTGGGAGGAGCTAAAGTTTGTTGTTTGAACCGCGAAAGCCGTCTATACGCTGATTTCACGCAGCCGCCATTTTGAAATGGCTCCGGTGGGAAGAAAACCGGAAGTGTCGCTTTTAATCATAGGAGAGTCGCGAATGCGATGGTGTATTGTTGTGTTTAATGTAGAAATTAGTTATTCTAAAAATGTATACATTTCTTTCATACTTCAGACTATATACAGTGAAATTCATTTATAAATAATATAATATATAAAATTCAGAACGTAAAAAAAGAAGGAGGAACGAACTATATACATACCCTATATTGGATATTAACATCCAATAGTGTAAATCGCGGCAGCAGCTTCAGGTTGGTAGTCCAAGCATTGTTGTCTATCTGTACTTCCGGGGTTCTTCCCACCGGAGCCTCGCTTTCGATTTCAAAATGGCGGCAGCGTGAAATCAGCCTATTCTCACTTAAGCTTACGCCACTCCTACATTCTACGTCATGCGTCAGGTCAGAGGTCACTCTTCAGGTCAGAGGTCACTCGTCGGGTCAGAGGTCACTCGTCACGTCAGAGGTCACTCTTCGGGTCAGAGGTCACTCTTCAGGTCAGAGGTCACTCGTCGGGTCAGAGGTCACTCGTCAGGTCAGAGGTCACTCTTCGGGTCAGAGGTCACTCTTCGGGTCAGAGGTCACTCGTCGGGTCAGAGGCCACTCTTCAGGTCAGAGGTCACTCTTCAGGTCAGAGGTCACTCTTCGGGTCAGAGGTCACTCGTCGGGTCAGAGGTCACTCGTCGGGTCAGAGGTCACTCTTCGGGTCAGAGGTCACTCGTCGGGTCAGAGGTCACTCGTCGGGTCAGAGGTCACTCTTCCGTCGGAACAAGACTCGCGTACAGCCGTTAACGTAAGCCAGTGATTACAGTTTATAAAGTTATAGATATGGATATTTTTCTCCGCTTTAGAAGGCCTTTATGAACCCCCTGGAGACGTATGGATTACTTTTATGATGGATGGATGCACTTTTATGGGCTTCAAAATCTAAGGAACCATTCATTCCCATTATAAAGCTTGGAAGAGCCTGGACAATTTTTAATATAACTCTGTGTTCGTGTGAAAGAAGAATGTCATACACACCTAGGATGGCTTCAGGGTGAGTAAATCATGGGCTAATTTTAATTTTTGAGTGAATTAACCCTTTAACCTGGGGTTAAAAAGACTAATAGTATATCCAACTTTATCTGCATACACACAGTAATGTATACTTAGGCCTATACTATATAGCAAATCTCACCTATTGAGTGCTTGTATCGATGCAGAATGTAAACTATATATTATCACTCGGCTCGAATCTGCTAAATGTTCCTGTGAGATATGAACATAGTATAAACATTAACGTCATGATTTCCTGAAAGCTGCTTTGAAACAATGTGCATTGTGAAAGTCGCTAAACAAATACATTCGTCTTGAGTGTATTGAGTCGTTTCAGCAATCCTATAAGATCATTACAAATCGCACTGTACGACATGGATCTAATAAACTTGTGTACGACATGTATGTAAACTTCACGATGATGACACCTATTGAATCGTAGGCTACGACGCGAGTTAGCATAGAAGAATAAAACGTCATCAGCATGCGCTCGTGGTGAACGAATAGAGCAAGATGAATCGCACTTGATTGGCAGTTGTGGTTTTTATGTGTGCTGAAAAAAGAGGTGAATATGGCTTGGGAAAAGTAGTTTGAAGTTTGAGCGCCATGTCGCGTTGATCAATACGCCATTTCATGTTGCATTTCGATTGGCTAGTCAGTAGACGTGTCGTAGCAGCAAACACTGAAAATGATCGTTGACTATCTTTGGCCACAAGACCGTCTTTGAACGCTTCACACTGTACGACGGAGAACCACGTTTAGGAGCCGCGGCCACAGAAATCTCCACGATTGGTCACCTTTCGTCTGGGACAGCCCAAAATCATACAGTGTGTGGCGGGCATAACTCGCATAAGCGAAACCCTGCTTGAACACACAGTTTAGACGAGTGCTTCCCCGCTGGCCTGCTGTGGGCTTGTTGCGCTATTCACTTGCTATTTGTCTTTTTGCTTGCTTTATATCTTTCTGCGCTGAGTTTGTGGGAAAATCTGCGGAATGTGTTTTAAAACTGAAAGGTTAAACTGGATGCACTTTTATTGTAAGCTGAAGTTGAATCAACTTTTCAGAACTTTTTGCATTGCTGATTTTATCATCACGTTTAACCCTTATCGTTATCCTTAACCATCTTATTCAAATTCAATACATCAGGCTTTTTAGGCTTGTATAGTATATTTTTTAACGAGAACGTGGAGGAAAAACGGCTCGATTTTATTCAAAGGTCCCAAAACTGAGCAAAACTACACAATCTGGTGCAGTTTCTGATATTTATATGGCCAAAAAAGTACATTTTAATGTAAATCAATGCAATTTCCAACAACTACTTGCACAAAAAAGATGCATATAAATATTAGTTGTCGCCGTATCTCCCAATAATAGTAAGATTAATATTTAAATGCTTAGTTTTATGATCAAAGCTCAGTAGTTTTTATTGTGGAGGCAAAATAATGCAATACAATGATTTAGATAAACCTTCCTCATAAGCCTTATGATCATATTTGATGGCTCACATTTTGATGAATGGATAATCAATAAGTTGCTTTAGTCCAGTAAGTGTTCATCTTGTAATATTACTAACAATATAAACGTTATTCTTACATTTACTTTATACAAATCATTAAATATTTCACAGCGAACCTTGTATCACAACCTTTTAAAATGATACTTTTACTAGCTAAAAAAGTATAAACTGTCAATCAGTAGATTGTGTGCAATGGGTTTTGATCATTTAGACGCATTAGAAATCAAATATGACGTTGCTTCTTGTAATGTTGAGTGTGTTTTCTGTCTCTTCCCACAGTTAAAGAGTTTCTGGCCTTCGCCAAAGAAGATTTCCTCAGGAAATGGGAGAATCCTGCACAGGTGAGAGGATATAAAGGGAAACCCAGTTTCAATACGTAAGCGTTTCCAGTGGAAACAGTTCTCAGAGCTGGTTATGGTGTTACATGAGTGTCACCTGGTCATTTAAACAACAGTTGAACAAACCCAGAAGACTCCCTTGACTCGGGCCAGTAAGAAACCACACAAAACACTCTCGAAACTGAGCTTCGAATCTATTAAAACTAAACTGATTGACTGTTTGTGGTGACGCCTGCTGGTCAGAACTGTGTAAATGCAGGAAACTTAAATATACGAATAAAAACACCTTTTACAAACCAACTGCAAATGTTTTATTGAAAGCGAATCTATTAAAATGCGATTAACAAATCCTCGAATACCATTTACATATGAAGTGCGTGTATAATAGATGCTATTTTATCCATTTGTAGAGCTCGTTTTGTTTGTTTTATAGAGAGCTTGGTTATTCAGAGACTTTTATCTACAACTCTTCCTTTGTATTATACAAATATGTCATTAAACTGTCTAAAATGATGATCTGAGATCAGGTAAAACCTTATAGACTCTGGTTCATTGGTTCACAGAGATCGACGCCTCGTTGTCCTGAACCATTGAAACTTAAAACATTTCAAAACCGTTATAAAGCCCGGTTTACTGAGATCACCTGACTTTGAGAGTTTGATACGTGCTCCAAGTCGATAATCCGAAACAAATGTTTCACAAAGGTTTCGAAGCTTCACAAAGTACTTTTTTCGAAAGCACCCATCACTACTAGAACCCAATAGTATCGTTAATAAACAGCCAATGATCAGTGCCGATTATATCCTGTCAATCAAAAGGGAGCGGAGAAACATGTTAGATCTCGTGCTGTGTGTAAAGAAAATGTCTCTTGTGTGAAATAACTATGAATAATTCGGCAGTCTGCTGCGAGCGAATCTTTATTAAAACTCACAATGCTACGTTATGCTTAACTTTTAGATATCGTACAACAAAAGAAGGCTCGCATAAACACAAGTGGATCAAATACATACAAGCTTTAGTTTGTACAGAAAGATCAGAACACACACACACACACACACACACACAAGTCGGGATTAAACAGAAGTTGCGCTCATCTTTTCTTCAGTATTGTGACGTATATCCGAGTGAAACGGCTTCACAAACAAGAACAAATGTAGGGCGGGGCTTGTGGAGTTGATTGGATTGTTGTGGTTTGCTATTGGTGGATCTGATGTGATTGACAGGTTATAGCCCCGCCCTCGTCATCAGAGGAGAGAAGAGATGCTGCAAGAGTTACTCTGATTCAAGATTACACATGAATTAAAAGAAAATTATGTGCACAGATAGATCATTTATAATAAACACTGCACAATTCCATAAAAATATGAATGGTCAATTCAGTTAATGTCAGTTAATGTGAGTTAGGCGTGTAAATGTGTTTTCTGTTTACAACTGAGATCAGTTATTCTGAAACATATGGAAGCTTGTTTCCGCCACAGAATAAAACATTTTATAACGCAATTGCGAGTTACGCAAGTCCAATTCTGAGAAAAAAAGAAAGACTTTTTGTCAGTTTATATAACAATTCTGACTTTAATCTCCAAATTATAAAGTGTTATAAAGTCGGAATTGCGAGATATAAACATGTAATTCTGAGAAAATATGTCAGAATTGCACGATATAAACTTAATTGTGAGATAAAAAGTCACAACTAACTTTTAAAATGTTTTATTCTTTATAACACACTGTGACTTATATCACGCAATTTTGACTTAATATTGTTTTTATCTCACAATTAGGACTTTTTTATCACAACTGCGACTTTAGGCTAGATGTAAACTCACAATTGTGAGAAAAAAGTCTGAATTGTGAGTTAAAAAAATCGCAATTACCTTTTTAATGTGAAACAAGGTGTAATACCTGTCTGTATGAGCAAACATGCTAAAGGCCGGTGGCGTGTCCGCAGAACACGGCAGGCCTGGAGGACTTCGAGCGGCTGAAGACGCTGGGCACCGGCTCGTTCGGGCGCGTGATGCTGGTCAGACACCGAGAGACCGGCCAGCACTACGCCATGAAGATCCTCAACAAACAGAAGGTGAGCGGGGCGTACACGCGAACGCTGTAATCCCGAGTTCACACACCATGTACAGTAGTCGGGTCACTGTCCTATTCTGTATGACTATCTGGTGTATCATTCAGTCGCTGCTGTGTTCACACTAATGTCTAGTTCACACTACAGGATTTTAAGGCAGTTAACGAGCTCGCCGACAGGTCAGGCTGTAAAGCCCCGTTCACACTACAAGTCTTTGACTTTGTCACTGCAGGTCGCCAGTGGCTGCGCTGGAGGGCATTCCCACTACGGGTTGCCTAGTAATGTTTGTGAGTGACTTTCACGGATGTTACTCTATGTTAGACAACAAATACGTTTTCTCTTACGCTACAAACAAATATTTTGGAAGGAAAAGTCTAAATATAAATGGAATCAGTACATAAAATGCATAATATTAAAGATGAAGGAGAAACAGTGAGTGCTTTTTGCCATCGCGGCTATTTAACTGCAGCAAACGGGCAAATAACGGTCTATCTGGGTTCCCGAAACCATTCAGGCACGGAGTCAGTACGGGGAATACCACTGTATGTACACGGAGATATATCATAAATAATAGGAGCGTTTCTGACTGCTAAAATGAGCTTCTCGTTCAACTTGCCTCGGTCAGGCTCAGCACTGAAGAGTGACGCGCTCCACTGACTTCACTCCTATTGGTTGTTGCTCCCGAAAGTCGCTCTTCGTTTGCATAAAGTGAAATAGATCTCAACTTTGTCGCGTCGCCAGACACGCCCCACCGGTCGCTGTCGCGCGTGTCGCCGGAAATCGCCCGCTCCCCATTGAAATGAATGGTATCGTGTTGCTTTGTCGCTTGTAGTGTGAACGGGGCTTCACTGCGTGTAATCGCCAATCTTTATGTGTGAAATACTAAACGATGCTTAAAAACGCTCGCTGACGCCAGACTAATATCTAGCATGCTAATATCTGGAGCTGTCGGCCGACTCGATAGCCTGTGGTGTCGCGACGAGCAACAGCCAATGATCAGCTTGTTATCACATTACACAAGCCTTTTGTGTTTGTAACCATCGTTGCCAAACCACAACACTGCTTTTTCATTATAAACATGTTTTACTCTCCTCCAACTCTCAGTCCCTGCTGCCCGCATGTGATATCCATCCTTTCACCCTTATTCAGTTTTTTTTTCCTCCGGGTTTCTAAACAGATCATTGTGCAAATAACTTTTCTTTTTTTTTTTACCGCCAATTTTGTCCTGGCGTCCATTTTAAAATAGACAACTCCTATATCGCGTAATTTCTCACTCCACTTTTCGCGTGTGTTTTCGTGACAAAACGTGGTTTGGGGACCGGATCGAGTCGTTGGGTGACAGAGTTGTTGTCCGCTCGTGTAGTGTGTGTGTCCCCCCGTTGCAGATCGTTTACGTAGTGTGAACACCACAACGACTTCGAGACTCCAGAGTGAGTCATGTAGTCTAAACAGCAGCGATCTGCCGACGTTAAAGTTGTGTAGTGTGAACTAGGCATAGGATGGATCGGCGACAGGTTTCACACTGCACTTTACAAAAGAGAGAATCGCAACTAAAACACGCCTGAAGTGATGAGGAAATAACGCAAGATCATGCGTGCCTGAGACCGGAGATATCGCGCGAGACTGAAAATTATATTAATGATAGCCCGCAAGAAGGTCAAGGTCAAAGTTTATTTCTGTAGCACCTTTTAACAACTCGAATGTTGACCAAAGTGCTTCACAGATACATCAAAAGTACACATACAGTGTAGAGTAGAGCATATAAAAAATAAAACAAATTAAAAGCTTGCGGAAAAAAAAGAAGTTTGCGATCCAAATAGTCTGTGCGCTGATTTACAGCGAAAAGGAGAAAAAGAAAAGCAGATTATGCAGGAGGGAATGGTTGGGGAGACGAGAGCAAGGATTGTGTGTTCTGCAAAGAGAGTTCGGGGTTAATACATATTTTCGCTATATTCTGCTGTCAAGCAAATGTTTGTGCTTTGTTTCTGTTTGATATGATTGTATATCTATAAAATACTGATATTCTGGTCTAAAACTCCTCCCACTGCCCTGTTTCTCGCTCTCTCATTGGCTGTCGGTCATCGCCGATGTAGTTTTCAGTCAGAACACTTTTCACACGGCAGGATTTTGAATCGCTGACAGGTCCAGATGTTTAGCATGTCAAATATCTCACGGGCGCCCCTTCGCTCTCTTCCATTGGTCAGAACTGAAGCCGCCAGTGTCCCGATATGGCTCCGACATCTTGGACTTGAGTCTGCGCAGAAGCGATCTCGGGACCAGACCTGCGCAGTCGTGAGCCGGAAGTAAAGCCGCGAAATCAAGGCCCCGCCCTCACTCTCACAGAATCAATCGCAAGCACACGCTCCTGCACTTTTTTTTAATTAATTATAGAAATTTAGATATTAAATTTAAAGCTCCAATCTCCTCAGTCCTCCGAAGATCCTGAAAAAAAGTCTGTTGGTGCTTCAGTGACTACTTCGCTCAGAGAACCTGTCAATCACAGCTGTCAATCATGACGTCACACCACCGCATCAAACTAACTAACTAAAAACAAACATATTTTAAAAACAAACACTTGAAATTACATCAGCGTGATAAAAACTACAGTAAATGACAGAAACTATATTTGCAAAAACGATATTTGAAGTGTAGGACCGGTCACCGGGGGGCGATCGAGACTCTGGGTTTATGAGCTATACTAGGACCGGCCACCGGGGGGCGATCGAGACTCTGGGTTTATGACCTATACTAGGACCGGCCACCGGGGGGCGATCGAGACTCTGGGTTTATGAGCTATACTAGGACCAGCCACCGGGGGGCGATCGAGACTCTGGGTTTATGGCCTATACTAGGACCGGCCACCGGGGGGCGATCGAGACTCTGGGTTTATGAGCTATACTAGGACCAGCCACCGGGGGGCGATCGAGACTCTGGGTTTATGGCCTATACTAGGACCGGCCACCGGGGGGCGATCGAGACTCTGGGTTTATGACCTATACTAGGACCGGCCACCGGGGGGCGATCGAGACTCTGGGTTTATGACCTATACTAGGACCGGCCACCGGGGGGGCGATCGAGACTCTGGGTTTATGACCTATACTAGGACCAGCCACCGGGGGGCGATCGAGACTCTGGGTTTATGACCTATACTAGGACCGGCCACCGGGGGGCGATCGAGACTCTGGGTTTATGAGCTATACTAGGACCAGCCAACGGGGGGCGATCGAGACTCTGGGTTTATGGCCTATACTAGGACCGGCCACCGGGGGGCGATCGAGACTCTGGGTTTATGACCTATACTAGGACCGGCCACCGGGGGGCGATCGAGACTCTGGGTTTATGACCTATACTAGGACCGGCCACCGGGGGGGCGATCGAGACTCTGGGTTTATGAGCTATACTAGGACCAGCCACCGGGGGGCGATCGAGACTCTGGGTTTATGGCCTATACTAGGACCGGCCACCGGGGGGCGATCGAGACTCTGGGTTTATGACCTATACTAGGACCGGCCACCGGGGGGCGATCGAGACTCTGGGTTTATGACCTATACTAGGACCGGCCACCGGGGGGCGATCGAGACTCTGGGTTTATGACCTATACTAGGACCGGCCACCGGGGGGCGATCGAGACTCTGGGTTTATGACCTATACTAGGACCGGCCACCGGGGGGCAATCGAGACTCTGGGTTTATGAGCTATACTAGGACCGGCCACCGGGGGGCGATCGAGACTCTGGGTTTATGACCTATACTAGGACCGGCCACCGGGGGGCGATCGAGACTCTGGGTTTATGACCTATACTAGGACCGGCCACCGGGGGGCGATCGAGACTCTGGGTTTATGACCTATACTAGGACCGGCCACCGGGGGGCAATCGAGACTCTGGGTTTATGAGCTATACTAGGACCGGCCACCGGGGGGCGATCGAGACTCTGGGTTTATAAGCTATACTAGGACCAGCCACCGGGGGGCGATCGAGACTCTGGGTTTATGGCCTATACTAGGACCGGCCACCGGGGGGTGATCGAGACTCTGGGTTTATGACCTATACTAGGACCGGCCACCGGGGGGCGATCGAGACTCTGGGTTTTATGACCTATACTAGGACCGGCCACCAGGGGGCGATCGAGACTCTGGGTTTATGACCTATACTAGGACCGGCCACCGGGGGGCGATCGAGACTCTGGGTTTATGAGCTATACTGGGACCGGCCACCGGGGGGCGATCGAGACGTTTTGGCTTCACTTTTCAGGGCTTGTGCGGCACGCTTGGTGATTTCGGGCATTTGTCGGCGATCTCCCAAAACCTGTCGCGATGCGTTTAGTAACACTGTGTGTCTTCAGGTGGTGAAGCTGAAGCAGATCGAACACACACTAAACGAGAAGAGGATCCTGCAGGCCGTCAGCTTCCCCTTCCTCGTGCGCCTGGAGTACTCCTTCAAGGTGAGGATCGCTCAGGACATGATAACCGGATGATGGCGCGTGTAATGGACGTGTGTGTGTGTGTGTGTGTGTTGCAGGACAACACTAATCTCTACATGGTGATGCAGTACGTTCAGGGAGGGGAGATGTTCTCACACCTGCGCAGAATCGGCAGATTCAGGTGAAGATCTGTTCATTCCTGATGTGCTTGTGTAGTCTCTGAGGGGAAATGCAACATGAAGTGCACAAATAGGCCATCGGTTATTTCTATGGGGTTATTTCTATGGGGTTATTTCTATGCCAAAAGTAATAATCTGTTGAAATAGATTTACTTATTGTAGAGTTAAGGAAAGATATCATGAGTGTTGTAATGTTGTAAAGTGGATACGTAACAAATGTCGGTATCATTTTAAAACGAGCTGTTCATTCATAAATCCGTAAGATCTTTCCTTCATGCTGTGGAAACACAAACCGGGAGATGCAGAAAAGGGGCGGAGCTACAGAAGCTCTTAAAGGGCCAGTTCACCCAAAAATGAAAATTCTGTCATCATTTACTCATGTTGTAACAAACCTGTTTGAGTTTCTTTTCTTCTGTTGAACACAAATATATATTTTGAACATTATGGGTACTCAAACAGTTGATGGACACCATTGACTTCCATAGTAGGAATAAAAAAAAATACTATGGAAGTCAATGGGTGCCGTAAACTGTTTGGTTACCCACGTTCTTCAAAATATCTTCTTTTGTGTTTTATTTTTTGGGTGAACCATCCCTTTAAAGTCTTTAAAGTCAATCATTGTATCCCTTAAAACTCATGTTTGATCACCGAAATTACATATTTAAACTTTTTTTTTTTCTGTAAAAAAATGCCTTAAAATATCTTGAAAGTAACTCGACACCCTTGCCTCATTTAGTATGTGAGGTTCTATGAATATGCAAATGAGCCCCGCCTCCACTCACTCACTCAGCTCAGAGATCCACTGGTTGACGATCACACGTTGATCTGATTGGTTACAAGGTAGTGTGTGACGTCAGAAACACCAGCGATTTCAAACCGTGTTTTTGAGACTGTCTTTGGTTCACTGCAGTTTTAAGCAGAAAATACTCAGCAATGCTGTCGACTTATGAACTTACACATGGTGTGTCTTAAAGCACATTAAAAACACCACACACATATAAACAACATTAAAAGCTGGATGCTTTCAATTTAAAATAAGTATTTGCTTTGGATTTATGTTTACTATTATCATCACTTTAAAAATCTCCTCTAATAAAAAAGATTTAAAAACAACCCACATTTTAGAACGATTTTTAAAAAATTATTTAATAATGAATGCATTATCTATATTCCCCTACTTGTTTTTTTATGTTCTCAAGTTTGTATTTTTGTTGAAATGTAAGTTTTGCAAAAGTAAAAAATACACAACCATATACACACACACACACACACACACACACACACACACACACACACACACACACACACACACACACATCAACTCATTCTCCATTCTGACTACTTTCCACATCATGAAGTCATCAAAACACGAGAAACACAAGTGTAAACACAGGAATGATGTTGTGATTAAAACACATGAATGAAATGCCAGCTCCGCTCACTTTCTGCAGTGTAATGAGGAGTTCACATGTTTGACTTGGTGTTTTTCCGTCACTATCTGGTTCAACTCATTCTTAAAAATCACAATAGTCAGGCATTTAAGCAAAGCCTTTAAATCAAACTGTTTTAAGGTTGATGAGAAATGTGTGTAAACCTCGTAGTTCACATGTGCGATTACAAAAGACCAAATGCTCAGAAGGAAAACAGGTCGTATTTATATGTATTTTGACTCAGGTTGAATTGCATGTGTGTAAATGAGAAAAAAAAAAAACAGAAATTTGAGATAAAATGTTTAACATTTTTTGTTAGCATCTGTTTTTGGCCTCTTTAAAATGTGATTCCAAATGCTAAATGTGATCATCTGACCTACATCTAAAAAAAACATGTATGGTTCCGTGAAGAAACTTGAACAATTGTTCCATTGAACAAAAGGTTCTTTATAGTGAAACATGATTCTTTAGATTTTTAGAGTGTTCTTCACATTAAGAAAAAATGGTTCTAAAGAAAGGTTCTATGAGGAACTAAAAATGGTTCTATGACATCACTGCGGAACATGTGTCTATGACATCACCCCCCCCCCCCCCCCCCCCAAACATATGGAACCTTTATTTTTAAGTCAATTACAGTATATGTAGTTTAACTTGTACGTTTTATAATCCTCATAAAAGTTGACAAAAATCGATAGATTGTTATGTAACAGTCGCCCCAGAAATCTGCATATTTGTGCTTGATTTCTTTGGCTTTAACTCGAGTTCGTCTAGCTAAATATAGAGGATAAAACAACTTTGGTTTGGTTTAAAGAACCAAACGATGACTTCCGGTGAGCCTCGAGGATATTTGACCTGAAAGTTATGCTAATGTGAGACTGTGACATGCTTAATATGTATTAGTTGTTTGCTGTGACATTGTGTCCTAATGCAGAAATCACTGATGAGGTTCAGTCCATCTGTTTTATTCCGGCTGATGCCTTTATGTAACGGTGTGTTTTCTCCTCGTCTTTCTTCCGGGCGTTTGCTCTCTCTCTCTCTCTCCGCAGTGAACCCCATGCACGCTTTTATGCTTCACAAATAGTTTTGACCTTTGAGTATCTGCATGCCCTTGACCTGATCTACAGAGACCTTAAACCAGAGAACCTCCTCATCGATCAGCAGGGATACATCCAGGTAATAACACACACACTTCAAATTCAAGATACACTCATATTTATTGCTTAGTAAATGAACAGTAAAAACACATTTAAAAATAAGACTGCCACAATTGGCTGTTTTCACTCAGCGCTAGTTGAGGTGCGCAATTTTCAACATTTTTTTCAAGATTAAATTGAAATAAAATTAATCGTAACTTCGTCATATTTATATTATATTTAATATTTATATTTAATATCATATAATATGTAGTTAGAATCTGAAATTAATATGAAACACTTTCGACTCCCAGTCTTAAATTTCTTAATTCGCATGGATAATAAACTAATTTGTAATATTTATCGTTACTTTATAAAGCAAATGTCAACATTTGTGACCTACTTTACATCAGTATTTATTTTAAAGTAAGTATTGTTCACAACTTTCACTGTAATAATTAATACTTGTGCCTTTTGGAAAATATTTTATGTTTAAGCACAGATTATGACAAATGCTGCGTTAGATGAACAGAAACAGATCAAAATCAATGTGATTTTTGCTGTAACCCAAAAAGTGAGAGAAAAAAAAGAAGTCAGGTTTGGGTGTAAATAAAGTGTGTGTGTGTGTGTGTGTGTGTGTGTTTTCTCAATCACACACAGCTCATGATCTCACCATTACTGCCCTCCTATGGCTAATATGAGAATGACATGAAAGAAGTGTGTCAATCTCATGGTCGTGTGTGTGTGTGTGTGTGTGTGTGTGTGTGTGTCTGTGTGTGTGTGTGTGACTGTGTGTGTGTGTGTGACTGTGTTCCAGGTGACAGACTTTGGCTTCGCGAAGCGGGTGAAGGGCCGCACGTGGACGTTGTGTGGGACCCCGGAGTATCTGGCCCCGGAGATCATCCTCAGCAAGGTGAGCCTCGCTTCCCTCACAATGCAACAAAAATATAGAACTTGCATTATAATTAATAAAGCGTTTTCACTGCATGAGTCAGCCTGTAGATGCTCCAAACACTTCATCTGTCTGAATAACCTGATTTAATATTCACATATAATAGACGCGAATTCGCGATGCATATTCACATAGAAAACACTTATTTTAAATTGTAATAATATTTCACGATATTACTAGTATTTTTGATCAAATAAATGCAGCCTTGGTGAGCAGAAGAGACTCTTTCAAACACATAGAAAAATTATTGAATTATGTAATTATAAATACTGCTCAAAAGTTTGGAAAATTACATTTATAATTACATAATTCAATAATTTTTCTATGTGTTTGAAAGAGTCTCTTCTGCTCACCAAGGCTGCATTTATTTGATCAAAAATACTAGTAATATCGTGAAATATTATTACAATTTAAAATAAGTGTTTTCTATGTGAATATGCAAGTGTAATTTATTCCTGTGATCAAAGCTTGAGTTTTCAGCATCATTACTCCAGTCTTCAGTGTCACATGATCCTTCACAAATCACTCTAATGTGCCCTAACATTTTTGATTATCAATGTTGAAAAAATTTTTTTTAGGATTGTTTAGGAAGTTGAAAAGAACAGCATTTATTTGAAATAAACATTTTATTTTACTATCACTTTTGATCAATTTAAAGCATTTATTGCTGAATAAAAGTCTTTTTTATTTTATCTTACTTAACCCAAACTTTTGAATGGTAGTGTTTCACATTGTCAACAAAAAATATTAAAAGGCACAACTGTTTTCAACATTGATAATAATCAGAAATGTTTCCTGATCCTCATATTAGAGTGATTTCTGAAGGATCATGTGACTCTGAAGACTGAAGTAATGATGCTGAAATACAGCTTTGATCACAGGAATAAATGACACTTTAACATGAAGAAAACTGTTAAATTGTAATAATATTTCACAATATTACTGTTTTTACTGTATATTGATTAAATAAATGCAGCCTTGGTGAGAATTAGAGACTTCTTTCAAAAAAACTATTTCCAACTTATGACCGATAGTGTCTGAATTGTTTGCTATTTATTTGATCTGTTTCAGTTTGAATAACTTGCATCTCATCTCATCCCTCCTCTACTAGTTTAAATCCCCTTTCCATGAATATACGCAGTTGTCGCTCAACTTTACAGTGTTTGATCAGCTCTTGACCTGCTCCTGGTGTGTGTGTGTGTGTGTGTGTGTGTGTGTGGTAGGGTTATAATAAGGCGGTGGACTGGTGGGCTCTGGGTGTGTTGATGTACGAGATGGCTGCTGGTTATCCTCCATTTTTCGCCGATCAACCCATTCAGATCTACGAAAAGATTGTCTCAGGAAAGGTAATTTTGCCAAGGCTTGACAAAACAACAGCCTATCGGTTTCATCTGAGATTCTCGTCTTCAGCCTGACCCGCTTGTTTCCTTCCACAGGTACGATTCCCGTCGCACTTCAGTTCGGACCTGAAGGACCTGTTGAGAAACCTGTTGCAGGTGGACCTCACCAAACGCTTCGGAAACCTTAAAAACGGAGTTAACGACATTAAAGGACACAAGTGGTTCTCCACTACTGACTGGATAGCCATTTACCAGCGGAGGGTGAGAAACACGCGCCATCCCTTCATCACTGACCGTAAATGACGTATTATTCAGAGTTTGACCTGTAAGGCTGCGTTCACACTACTGTAACGTTCATGAAAGACATTCGCGGATGTTGTAATAGCCGCGTTTACATTACACATTTGCACAAAACTTGTGCGATATTTTCTTAATGTCGATAAAAAACGATTGCGAAATGACGGCGTTTCAATTAACTGATGTTATGGGACTAAAACATAATTTTTTCCTCTCGCGATAAGTCATTTCAATAATTATGGCGACGGATGTTGTAGGTTTACGTATATCCCAGCCGCCGCACTAGCCATTATTATTAATGGAAGGAGACGTAGGTGTGTTATCCAAGCATTAATGGAGAGGAAACTTACGATATACTTACGATACTTATATACCTTATACTTATATTTCTGCTTCAAGGTCGTGATTGTGGTATTTCTTTGTTGTTTAGAATCCAGTATTCCTGTAACTCTTTTGTCTTTTATGAGTTTAATGATGAACTCTGTCTCGTCTTCTGTCAAAACACACTGCGCCATCTTTAAAGAATGATCGACTGTTTCCATTTCGCAGTTGTGCAAAATAAATCCTTTTTCGAATTGCCTGAAAAACCACCTCATGTAAAGCGTAACAACGTTTTTGCGATATATGGGAGTTTTTGCTCAATTTTTGCGTTTTTATTTCAAAACTGAAGTTCAATACCGTAAAAAATACGGTAGTAATATTTTAGGTTTTACGGCAGGCATCTAAATATTACGGTAAAAAACTGGCAGCTGTGGTTGCCAGTACTTTACCGTAAAATATATGGTAGAAATATTTTAGTCTTTACGGCACTGAACTAAAGTTTACGGTAAAAAACTGGCAGCTGGTTGCAAGTGCTTTACCGTAAAAAATACGGTATTAATATTTTAGGTTTTATGGCAAAGCACTTGCAACCAGCTGCCAGTTTTTTACCGTAAACTTTAGTTCAGTGCCGTAAAGACTAAAACATTTCTACCATATATTTTACGGTAAAGTACTGGCAACCACAGCTGCCAGTTTTTTACCGTAATATTTAGATCCCTGCCGCAAAACCTAAAATATTACTACCATAGTTTTTACGGTAAATCGCTTTAAACCAGCTGGCAGTTTTTTACCGTAAACTTTAGTTCAATGCCGTAAAACAGTGGTTCTCAACTCCAGTCCTCGGGACCCGCTGCTCTGCACATTTTGTATGTCTCTCTTATCTGACACACTCAGTCCAGTTCATAGAGTCTATCCTAACGAGCTGAGGATCTGAATCAGGTGTGTTAAATAAGGGAGACATACACAATATGCAGAGCAGTGGGTCCCGAGGACTGGAGTTGAGAACCACTGCTGTAAAACACACATATTTCTACCGTTTTTTTTACGGTAAAGGACTGTCAACCACAGCTAGCAGTTTTTTACCGTAAATTTAAGTTCAATGAAGTAAAACATAAAAATTGCTACCGTATTTTTTACAGTAAGTTATGGTAAATGCAACAGTAAGGTTTTTTTTTACAGTGTACTTCCAAAATCCGTACATTTAACAGTATTTTACTGTAAAACTACATGAAATGTCCCGTGAGAGCTATTACAGGTATATAATAAGGGTACATAGTGTTAAGCAATTAACATGTCTTTTCCGTTGCTTTTTTACAGTATTTTACCGTTCAAATTACGAACATTTTTTACACTGTATGTTCAGCGAGAAAAGGACTGCTGTCATGTAAAGATATAGAAAGACACATAATCAAACTACACAGCACAAATAAATACAATAGAGCAAAAATACGAATGCTTTTTAGTTTTTACAGGTAGGTCTAACATTAGTTTTCAGGAACATAAACTGAATAAAGTGATCAAATGTAAAAATAACATTGCATATTTGACTATAAATAAAGATGAATCCTTATTAAAGTTCCAAAAGCTATTCAGTCCAGAGCAGTGAGTGATTTCCTTGTCTTTTGTTGTTTGATTAACATTAAAAATACAAACGGCTGGAATATTAGGCTGCTGTCACTTTAAGACTGAATGCCCGGATCCAGTATACTGATACACATGTGTTGTCTTTCTCTACTGTTATTATTCACTTAAGACATAACCAACAACACATTTATACAGAATAAATCTGCTTTTGAAAGAAACTTGGCTTTTCAAATAATGCGTGAGTCATTGAATCATTCACTCAAGCCGATTTTCTTTTTAAATAATTCATTCAGATTAATAAGTAGTTAAACCTTTTAAATAGACTGCAGCAATTAACATTTTGTCAGAACTTCTAGTAAATTACATTATTTAGTTTAGTTGTCTGTTCAGAATCGTAATCTCTGTTCGAAGCAAAAAAATTGTTGTGCAGCTCAAATCCGCACATATTTTACGCTTTTCTCTGTTAATCGATATGTAATTTGAACAATAATATATGATCCATGTCAAAAGGGTTAATGAACAGAAACATCAAATATTCTGTGTGATTTTGCTGTTACTCAAAAACAAAGGGGAGTGTAAAATATGAGCAAAGAAATACTTCATATTGGTATTGGCGATTATTTCATGCTCAAATGTAAATATCAAGCGTGAGATGTTTAAGATCAGGTAAATCTCTCTCTCTCTCCGTGTGTGTTTTGGCAGGTGGAGGCCCCGTTTGTGCCTAAATGCAGAGGTCCCGGGGACACCAGCAACTTCGACGACTACGAGGAAGAGGAGATCCGTGTGTCGTTCACGGAGAAGTGCGCAAAAGAATTTGCCGAATTCTAGAGGAAGAAACTATAGAAATCAGAGCGAGGGATATAGGTGGAGAGAAAGAGAGAGAGAAGGAGAAAAAGTGCATGAATCTTAAAAACCGATCCTTCCTCCTGTAAAACAGCAGAGAAACCAGCGGAAGAGTCCAGAGAAGACCTCCAGGGATAAACAGTGAGGCCTTTATCATCTCCTCTATTTTAATCATGTTTGCAATTTTCTCTTTTTTTTTCTTCTTTTTTTTTAATCTCTGTTCATGTGATATTAACCCTGATGGATTTGATAGGGTGTAATTGTTGGCCTGTGGACTGGGATTGTTGTTGCCGCACAAAAACAGACTGGATTAGTTAAATCTCTAATCTTGAACAGTTACCACTAAGGTGCAAGTTCTCCACTAGGTCACCATAACAACCATACAGAAAAATAGAAAAAAAAAAGAACGATAAAAATATGTATTCCTGTGTAATAACCGAAATATTTTTGGTCCTGTATACTGTCATGTGTTTCTTTATTCTTAAAATGCACTGAAAGGGACGACGAAGTGAAAATGGCATAGAAAAGAAGCCATGATTTCATAATATGAGCACTCTTTTCTTTTTCTTCTTTCAGCTGTAGGTCCACTGCGCTCTGTAAAATATTCACTGATGAACTTTGAACTTTCACCTATGAAATGTGCCATGAAATCCTACAAGTGTCAATATTTTGGCTCATCAGTCGTTTCATTGATTCTAGCTGACATATAGCAGTCGACAGCGGACCGCGTCAATGCTTGGTGCAGAGGAGGGGATGAATGTTTTCGTTTCGTTTGTTTAGGATTGTTAATACTATAATTGTTACGGTTCTCATTGGGTTATACATTTCTAGTACCTGACGAAATCGCACACACACTGTGCGTGATTGACACGGCGAAGTCTTGCGGTCGGCCAATGAGCCGCCGCATTGCTCTCTCCGTTTTCGCCATTTCTTCCCCCTTCATTCTTCCATTTCTGCATTTTTAAATAGGCAAAGTCTTCTCTCTGAATGGGTGCAGAGCATCTGGCTCCTTTTTGGGTGAGAATTTCTTACACGCAACTCTCTAGGCTACAAATATCTCCTCTAAGCTGGAGGTGAACTCAGTGGATACCAGTGCTTACTCCTGAGGACATGGTTCAAGTTAATTGTGATATTTTGCACCACAAGAATCATTCCAATAAAGTATTACTATAAATACCAAACAGGTTTCACGTCCTTTTATGTGTAAGCACCTAATATTTTAGTAAGTTTCACCCTGTCTGCAGCTTCTGTCCTATTCGGCATGCTGTCATATTGAAGTAGAAATTTCTGTCATGAAACTCTAGATGGCACAGACTGATCGGTCCTTAACTCAATCTGCCTGTAATCATATCATTCTCTATAGGGCACCGCTGATTGGTTCCTGCTGTATTAGTAGCCGATGAGCTCGCTGCTCAATCTTCAAATACTGATCAGCATTTGCTGTAACAGTTGCAGGGCGCTTTCAGAAACCCTCCACCTTCCCCAGCTCCACCTGTATAGATCTGCTACGGGTAATTCATGTATGCTATATTGTATAGCAGCAGCATGTCTTACTTGCTCACAGCAGCGTGTTGTGTATATCTTTGCAGTAGCAAGTCCCGTACTTGCTCTGCAGCAGCAATAACCAATAATCAACATCATCAGCAATAATCTACAACAACAGCAATAACCAAGATCAGCAGCAATAACCAAGATCAGCAGCAATAATCAACATCAGCAGCAATAACCAACATCAGCAGCAATAATCTACAACAACAGCAATAACCAACATCAGCATCAATAATCAACATCAGCATCAATAACTAACATCAGCATTAATAACCAACATCAGCATCAATAACCAACATCAGCATCAATAACCAACATCAGCATCAATAACCAACATTAACAGCAATAATCTACAACAACAGCAATAATCAACATCAGCATCAATAATCAACATCAGCATCAATAACCAACATCAGCATCAATAATCAACATCAGCATCAATAACTAACATCAGCATTAATAACCAACATCAGCATCAATAACCAACATCAGCATCAATAACCAACATTAACAGCAATAATCTACAACAACAGCAATAATCAACATCAGCATCAATAATCAACATCAGCATCAATAACTGACATCAGCATTGATAACCAACATCAGCATCAATAACCAAAATCAACAGCAATAATCTACAACAACAGCAATAACCAACATCAGCATCAATAACCAAAATCAACAGCAATAATCTACAACAACAGCAATAATCAACCGCAACAGCAATAATCAACATCAGCAGCAATAACCAACATCAGCATCAATAACCAACATTTGCATCAATAACCAACATCAACAGCAATAATCTACAACAACAGCAATAATCAACCGCAACAGCAATAACCAACATCAGCAGCAATAACCAACATCAGCATCAATAACCAACATCAGCATCAATAACCAACATTAGCATCAATAACCAACATCAACAGCAATAACCAACATCAGCATCAATAACCAACATTAACAGCAATAATCTACAACAACAGCAATAATCAACCGCAACAGCAATAATCAACATCAGCAGCAATAACCAACATCAGCATCAATAACCAACATTTGCATCAATAACCAACATCAACAGCAATAATCTACAACAACAGCAATATCCAACATCAGCAGCAATATCCAACATCAGCATCAATAACCAACATCAACAGCAATAACCAACATCAGCATCAATAACCAACATCAGCATCAATAACCAAAATCAGCATCAATAACCAACATCAGCATCAATAACCAACATCAGCATCAATAATCAACCGCAGCAGTAATAACCAACATCAACAGCAATAACCAACATCAGCATCAATAACCAACATCAACAGCAATAATCTACAACAACAGCAATAACCAACATCAGCATCAATAACCAACATCAGCATCAATAACCAACATCAGCATCAATAACCAACATCAGCATTAATAATCAACCGCAGCAGCAATAACCAACATCAACAGCAATAATCTACAACAACAGCAATAACCAACATCAGCAGCAATAACCAACATCAGCATCAATAACCAAAATCAGCATCAATAACCAAAATCAGCAGCAATAACCAACATCAGCATCAATATCCAACATCAGCAGCAATAACCAACATATGCATCAATAACCAACATCAGCATCAATATCCAACATCAGCAACAATATCCATCATCAGCATCAATATCCAACATCAGCATCAATAACCAACATCAGAATCAATAACCAACATCAGCATCAATATCCAACATCAGCATCAATAACCAACATCAGCATCAATAACCAACATCAGCATCAATAACCAACATCAGCATCAATAACCAACATCAGCATCAATAACCAACATCAGCATCAATAACCAACATCAGCAGCAATAACCAACATCAGCATCAATATCCAATATCAGCATCAATAACCAACATCAGCAGCAATTACCAACATCAGCATCAATAACCAACATCAGCAATAACCAACATCAGCATCAATATCCAACATCAGCATCAATAACCAACATCAGCAGCAATAACCAACATCAGCATCAATATCCAACATCAGCATCAATAACCAACATCAGCAGCAATAACCAACATCAGCATCAATATCCAACATCAGCATCAATAACCAACATCAGCAGCAATTACCAACATCAGCATCAATAACCAACATCAGCATCAATATCCAACATCAGCATCAATAACCAACATCAGCAGCAATTACCAACATCAGCATCAATAACCAACATCAGCATCAATATCCAACATCAGCAATAACCAACATCAGCAGCAATAACCAACATCAGCATCAATAACCAACATCAGAATCAATAACCAACATCAGCATCAATAACCAACATCAGAATCAATAACCAACATCAGCATCAATAACCAACATCAGAATCAATAACCAACATCAGCATCAATATCCAACATCAGCAATAACCAACATCAGCAGCAATTACCAACATCAGCATCAATAACCAACATCAGCATCAATAACCAACATCAGCATCAATAACCAACATCAGAATCAATAACCAACATCAGCATCAATATCCAACATCAGCAATAACCAACATCAGCAGCAATAACCAACATCAGCAGCAATAACCAACATCAGCATCAATAACCAACATCAGAATCAATAACCAACATCAGCATCAATAACCAACATCAGAATCAATAACCAACATCAGCATCAATATCCAACATTAACAGCAATAATCTACAACAACAGCAATAATCTACAACAACAGCAATAATCAACATCAGCATCAATATCCAACATCAGCATCAATAACCAACATCAGCAGCAATAATAATAGCAGCAGCAGTGTAGCAGATCTATTCCGCCAAGACCAAATATATCAATATTGTTATATCCATTACAAAACCAAACTCTGCGCGAGTTGTCATGACAGAATGTGTGTATTGGGATATTGCACCATTGTTCATTAAGACTGAGAGATGAGTTGGGTGGACTTTCACAGCCACTGCTCCAGAACAGGGTAAGAATATCATAGGTCTGGCCAGGCATCATATTCATGATGAAACACTTCTGAATTTGTTTAGCAGTTTGTATAGCATGTTTGCATTATAAAGTGCAGCTGGTCATGTACAATAGCTTTGTGTTGTTTAAGCATTACACAACTGCAGAGAACTCATTGAAAGATTGAGAAGATCATGAGATGTCTGCTCATACTAGTATAGATCTGTCGGTTAAAGATTTTGGAGGGCAACACTAGGCTTTTTCCAGATGTATCTATATGCATTTTAAAATATGCAATATAATTAATTTAATCATGTTACTTTGTGCCTATTGATGCTAGTTTTAGCTAATCAGATCAAGTCCTTCATGCTGATTTCACTAATTAGTGCAATGGAAATTTTAAACCAGTTTTTTAGTTAACACATTCTGCAATGAACTATTTTAGGACTTTCATTAAACTTTAAGCTCTTTTTAGTATTCATTTTGGCTTGTAGATAATGTTTCCCCCCATATTTTTGTTGCAATTATCTGTTAACATCTGGCAGGGACGTCACGTGATAGCCGTCATCTAACCATTCAATATGCCTTTCAATTGAATTGAATTTTAATTGAATATGTTTGTTGTAACTATAGTTGTACAACCAAATTTAGTCTCTCATTTGAAAAGTGCACTCACACACACACACACACACATCAAAAATATAAATATAAACTAATGTAAACAAATGGTACAGAATGTTAAAAAAAGGTTATTTACATAAATTTACATAATGTTATTTACATTATTTACCTAAACATAGAGATCACATATGTGACCCATGGACCACTAAACCAGTCACAAGTCGCACAGGTATATGTGGGAATAGCCAACAATCACTGTATGGGTCAAAATTTTCGATTTTTCCATTATGCCAAAAATCATAAGGATATTAAGT